CATATAAAAAAGAGGCCAGTTAACTAACTGCACAGCTAAGAGTGCCATGTTGGTATACTTAAACTCACATAAACACAAACACAAACATTCATATCAGAGTGGGTCCCAGATCTAGCCCACTCTTATGTGCAAGTTTAGGTGCGAAAATAAAATAGCCATGCATCCTGCCCTACGTAAAGTGCTTCTCACTGGCATTCATCGAGGGATTAGTTTCACCTGCTAGGCTGTCCTTCTGTCAGACAAGGACGCTCTTCAGCTCAAATGGCCTAAATTCTAATTCTACGACTTCTGATATGATTGTTCCATCTACCATGGTCGCTAACCATGCACTGGCTCCGAAATGTTCAATTACGGGCATATACCCCCGCCACGATATCACCAGGGTAGGAAGATAGCGATCCCATGGAAAGACAGGATAGCTTTGGAGAGTCGGAAGCTAGCTGGCGAAAAGTAATAGTCAGGTATTTTTATGTATCACTAGACTGATATTGAAAGACCAAAGTGCTGGCCTGGCATTGACATGAAAGGATACGATCACAGAGCCTCGAAGCAGCTTGGCTCTGTTGGGTTAAAACAGCAATATCCGATGTATTAATTCCACGGCCGGGAGCCAACTCGCAGTGCGATCTTGTCGTGCCCGCAGAGCTTTATACGTCACTTGCTCTGGGCAGATTTCCGAGTGAAGTCGAATACGAGAATGCTTTTGTAGAAATAAGCCCGGCAGGTTATTGTGTATGGGAAACGGAAGACAAGCAAATCATTCCCAAAACGGTCATTGCCACCAAGTCCACTTTAGAACGAAGGGTCAAGGCTATACCCCAGCGCTAGTGGTGAGCATGCATACGTGGCATGCACCGGCCCCATCCGCATAATACGAGAGATGAGAAAGATTGCATGGTTTTTCATCCGCCAAAGTGCATTGTGCGGCCTGAGCAGAACGAGAAGTGATCGGGCTGAATATGTGTGAATGAGGCTCAATCAAAACGGCTGAATCAAAGGCCAAGGAAGACAGCAAGGTAACGGCAATCGGATGGAAGGCTGTGTTGTCAGACCTAAATGACGGCCTCTGTTATTAAGTTCGGCCTAAGAGATACAGCCAGCCTTGCTCTATGGGACTAATCTGACAGATGTCTGGATACAATTGATATCATTGGCGAAAGGTACACACCAGCGTTATACACGGTAGGCTAGCCTCGTGCATGGGACTCAGAGAGAGGGGTGGAGCAGCCCACAGGCCGCTATCAGTAGCGTCTGCTTCTCCACTAGAACGAATGAAACAAGTTGTGGAGAATTTTAAACGTCAGCTATTCCGCAAACACGTAACCGAGGTGCGCTAAGAACTAGCTCCATGAATGTCAATGCATCTCACTGGTCGTTGGGAGGCCTTAGCTGCAAGGTTTCGAAACGAGAAGGACGGAGAATTCTGCAGCGAGACTAGGGGGCCAAAAGATGGCCAGCTTGCTCAATATAATATGAGGTCCTCTGTCTCCTGGAAGCTGGGTTGAGCTTCAACACACACCACTACAGGCCCGCTTTCTCCATGATGTCGCGCGAAATTGAGCAGCTGGCTCAGCCAGCAAATAAAAGAAAGATGCGACTCATTGTCGCTAGCTGTAGTCGGTAAGGCATTACGCTTCCTAGAGTGGCGTTCGTCGCGGGAAACATTTCCTCCCAGAAAAGAAGGAATGCAAGCACCCCGGCTGATTCATAATGGAACAGAACAGGCACACTGGGACTCCATGCAGGACTGGAAATGCTGGGGTATACGCCCTATCACATGATTGATGTGATGTTCAAGGGTAGAAGCCCTCACATGAAGGTGTTCACAGAGGCTATAGTTGCCAATCACAACCAACTCTCCGGCATCAAGCGATACGAGACGCCAGACGTGGACAGGTGGATAGGAAACTATGATGTGAGTTCAATCCGGTGTTTCACCATGCTTTCCGTTTGTGTTGCCTTATTACGAACCATTCTTTTCCGACCCTAAGGGGACAAAATGCTGACGAGCTCTAGTGCTTGATGGAAATCCCAAGTTACATCGGGACTAGGGCCATCAGGGGATATATTGAAGATCCCAACGTCAAGTTTATAGTGACCGAGCGCATGCCTGAAAAATGGGTCAGGTCAATCGACAATACTATTGGGGAAGCTGTCAAGGCAGCCAACCAGTTTCCACTCAATATTCTGAAGCGTTTTGACTCGGAGCTCGGCCATTTCCTGCACCTCGCCACGGTAATGTACTGGGCTTATGCGGATGGGGCGAACCCAGGTGATGCCAACAGTGAAGCCGCTCTCTACAAGAACTACGTGGAATAGTGAGTAGTTTTGTGCCCTGGCTCACCATAACGGTTTGGATATTGCTGACCATCACGCGAATGTAGTATTCGAACTATGAAGGAAACACTTCCCGAGGATAGGCTCCTAGTGGTGAAGCTTGAGGATGGCCTGGGCTGGGAACAGATCTGCCCGTTCTTAGACCTGCCAATACCCGAGGAAAAGTTTCCTCGTGGTAATGAGCCCGACAAGTTTCACAGGATTGTTGCGGACTATATGGAACCCAGAGTGAAGGCAGCCATCCTGAACTTCGGTGCAATGGTCACCGCCACAGCTGGAGTAGCTGGATATTTGGGGTGGCGGTACTTTGTTCGCCAATGAAGAATGTGAAACTGGCAAGCCATTGCATCGGTCAAGTGACTTGCAAGGCGTAAAATTAAAGTAATTGTGCTGGGGATTCAATAGTACTTAAAACCACTTAAGGTTGTGAACGGTCGATGGCGTGATTGTGCTTAATTTGTGCTCATCAGGAACCACACCCACGCTACTACAACCGGGTGGGGCCAGTGATATGAATTAGAATATGTCGGTAATATAGCATACTACGGTGGAAGTCCAGCAAGATACTTCCTGCGAAGACTGTCAAATGCAGACCTAAGCGTGAGTAGGGTTTAGGATCCTATGCGGGCATGCAAGAAAATCATCAAGCTTAGTAATCCAAAGCTCTCCTATCTGCCACCTCCATATTCATAGTAGTCCGGAGTAGCTATGATTGTAGATTACAAGTTCTGGCAACCATCAACCAGTGTAATCGGTAATTTCCCAGGGAGAACAGCGCATATTTGGGGGGAGAGTCAAGCATCCGAAGCCAGGGGCGGATGCTCACCTAGAAGACCAGTTGAGTTTAATCCGACAGAGATATATGATAACATATTAATTGGCAAGTAATTCACTGCTGGACATCCCTGAATTAGGAGATATCAATCATGTTTCTGACAATTAGATGCACATGTTACTTGCCTCCGGTAGTAATCGTATCATGCGGCGGTCGCCTGCCTGCTGCCACATCGTCCCAGACAGGTTTTGATAACCAATCTCAAAGCATATGAAATTAAGTCTATCTCAGGTCCATTCCCCTTATATTTCTCTTTTCCGTTGCATTCTTGCTAGTATACGGCGTTCAACACGCTGCCTGCTGACGGCTGGATATGATAGTCACGTGATGGTGTTGATGGAAATACGAGTGGTTGACTCGAGCCATCCGATTCGTATTTCCTAGCCATTTCTCTCTCTTCTCTCGACCTCGCTGCTCAAGGGCTCACGGTATATGTAATCCAAGAAAGACGGGTTTCATCATGCATGAAATTGTACAGCCCCAACTGCTATTCTCTCAGTATTGTTCTTGCTCACATTGGTATATATATTTAGGTTCCCATTCAGATAGGACAATGTGTATGTCTCGTTATGATATCAGGGTCTTTGGAGAGGAATACGCATATTGATTATTAATATCTAGGGAAACGAAGTTGGCTCTAGTTTCTGGTGAGAATGGATTAACAGCTAGACGATGTATCCATGATGTTGTATGCTGATTATCTGAAGGCAGGCTATCTCGGACGAGCATGGACTGGACAATTCTGGAAGGTCAGTCAGGATCTGCAACAGTGGTAGTTCCTGATTCTCACATCATCGCAGGTTTGCTGGTTCTGACGACCAGCGTGAAAAGCTGAATGTCTACTTTTCTGAGGTTATTGATCGATATACAGCGTTTCCATTAGCACCTTCCAGCTAATTTCGATCCCGTAGATGGAGGCACAGCAATATGTCCCTCGTGCAGTACTGCTTGACTCGAAAACTGAGAGTAGGGACAGAATTTGTACAGGTCCTCTTCGCGCCCTCTTCCGCCCTCGTAGCCTTTTGTTCAGAGGCTATGGCGCCGGTCAATGCTGGGCAGCTGGCCATCACACTGCAGGCGCCGAGCTTATCGACGATTCTCTTGATATTGTGCGCCGTGAGGCTGAGGCCTGTGAATGTCTGCAAGGTTTCCAGATCACTCACTCCTTAGGTGGGGGAACGGGAAGCGGTATGGGCGCACTGTTGATCTCAAGGTTGCGCGACGAATTTCCCGATAAAATGATCGCAACTTTCTCTATATTCCCTTCACTCGTACCCGATGTCGTTGTCGAGCCCTACAATGTAACCTTGTCGATGAATCAGCTGATCGAAGATTGCGATGCAACTTTCTGCATCGATAATCAGGCCCTTATAGATATCTGCACGGGGAGTCTTGGGTTACACGATCCTTCTCATATGGAACTGAACCCCCCGATCGCAGAGGCTATGTCTGGTGTTACGGCTTGTTTTCGTTTCCCCGGGCAGCTCAATTCGGACCTGCGCAAGCTGACAATGAACATGGTGCCATCTGCTCGCCTACACTTTTTTATGCTTGGACTGGCCCCTCTGCCCGGTTATACTTCCCGGTCCTCCATCCGTGTACCGCAGATCACTCACCAGCTATTCAGACGCGACAATATAATGGCGTCTGGGGACCACCAGATGAGCCATTTCCTCTCATGTTTGACCATTTTGTGAGCGTGCCACCTTTTCTTGATGATCGCGGTTATTATAAATCGCGCGGCCGTTTTGGGCCAAATGCTAACTGGAGCAGCCGCGGCAAGGTCAACATGGCCGAAGTCGAAGCACAAATGAACAATCTGCGGAATAACCGCTCTGCTGAGTTTATCGAATGGGCTCCCAATAACATTCGATCCACTGTGTATTTGCCTCGTAGCCCCGATGTGTCATGCGCACTCTTGGCCAACTCGACATCGATTCAGGAGGTGTTTAGTCGCATCAGTGGGCAGTTTTCTGCGTTGTACAGGCGCAAGGCCTATATGAATCCTTATACCATGCATGGGGTGGATGAGCTTGATTTTATGGAAGCGGAGTCAAACATGAATGATTTGATCGAAGAATACCAGGAGCATCAGGGCGGCCCTGTGCGCTAGACAGGACGAACCAACAAGTTCATTTTGGTGAAATAGTTATGTTCAGGGCCAAATGCATTCGCATTTCGCCTTAGACCCGCACCACCGCCAGACACAACATGTACTCTCGTTCGACCCTGTGAGGGATCGATCCCAAATCAATGATAGTAAACCCATTTTGTACCTGTCATAATGTCTCAATATGTACTTGATCTGACACCTATGAGCAATCTGGATAAGTCGATCTACATACAGCAGGTGATAATCAGTACTAACCGTGAAATGAATGGAGAAGATATCCCTAGGTCAATCCTCTAAACATGCCCAATTGGTCACTTCAAACATCTTCTGGAATCTTGAAATCAGGCAAGCTCCTAGAAACACTATAATATTCGCTATTACGCTTTGCCGGCCCCAAGGTCGGCCCTTCTCGACGAACGAGGTACTTCCAGAACTGCTGTGCTTTCCACAGCTCCTTTCCAAAACAATGCCAAGCAGTCACAACGATCTCTCCCCCGTTGTGTCCTTCGTAGCGCACCCGAAACTTCGTCGTGCAACTCTTACAGCGCCAGGTGAAATTGTCCTTTGTTGCTGCCTCTGCCAGCTGTGTAGATATCCTGGGCGGACGGACACCCTTCTGTAAAAGAGGCGGAAAAGCCGAAGTGATGGCGATAGTGAGGTGCGAGCTATTTGTGACCGGTTTCTTGGAGCAAGAAGTCTTTGGTGGGGGTACACCTGTCGTGGATAAATGTGCACAAACGCGGAAAGGAAGGGGGGTGATATCCCCCGCTTGAAGGGCCCGAGTCTGAGAATGGTTGTTCCGTAGATGGTGCTCCTGGGTAAGGACGAGGTTCCGGTCAACCCATCGTGCCGACGAGCAGAGGCTGTAGCTGACCAACCCCTGAGTGAAGGTAAAGTCGCCGTCGAATAGTGAAATCGGTGAACTCACGCCTGTGGCGGCGGGCTGTGACTCGAATGCCTCGAGGATATGCTCCCACACCAGGCTGTAGCCACCCGATGGTGTTTGCGGCCAGTAGTCGATACTGGCTAATTGACCCATACAACGCTTCGTCCATTTAGTCTCGCGATGGTCCTTGGGTCGCTTGAGAGGTGGGTGCATCACCTCGCATCGCGGGCAGTATTCACTTCCGGGGAGGTCGCGTTCGAGAAGCTCGACCAGCGAGCCGTGATGTCCATATTGAAGCCCATAGTGGCGAGCTCTTCCACGAAAGCTCGCCCAGGATGCGGTGCCGAGTCGATGCAATGCTTCTTTGCAGGTGAGCGTTAAACACGCTTCGGCGTCAGGCGGTAGGTGGTCAGTGATTTCGTCGAAAATTTCTCTGGGCAAACCGAACAGTCGTAATGTTCGATTGGGATCTCGCTCTATTTCAAATAGCGACCGCTCGAGATAGGTTGGTTTTGGCTTCTTCACTGCTCGACGGTTGGCATTATGATTGCCCTGGCGCTTGGATCCTTGCTGGCTAGGGCTATCGCGGTTGCGCAGGGATTTTTTCCTTTGGCTTGTCTTATTGCTATATGTAGCTAATTGAGCCTGCTGGGAGCGTGTACGTGCCATGTCGAGGATTCTTGTAGGAGAATTACTCACGTGGAGAGATACCACGCCTGCATGTTATACTATCACTCCACCTACGAATGAAAAGGAAGCTATCACGAAATAGGGTTGCTGCCTGAATTCCATCCGGTTGGTGCCTAGCCTCAGGCAGCCGTCCCGGATTCAATTTGAAATCCGTTTCTACCTAACCGTCGTCGTTCAACCGACTGATACTTCTACCACCAAAATAGATATTCCGTGCCACGATCGAGTATCCGCCACAAATGCGAAGCTGGATGTGTATAAGGGAAAGCCCAAGGGCTGGTAGAGATTAGACAACCGCCTTTTAAGCCTATCTTGAGCCGCAGGAGAAGTCGGGCAACTGCCGGCGATAGCAAGAGCCATTGGCTTCTGTTTGGCATTCATCGATCAAACGTGGCTTGCTGACGAAAGGCTCAACCTCAATAAAGGCATGGTTGATTGGATCGCCGTGTCGATAGCGTGCTGTAGTGCGAAGGGCGTTCCCACTTTTTCCTTAGCGAAGTTCGCTTCATAGCTGATATAATTGATTGACGTGCATAAATAGAGCCGGGTCAGTATATGGAGAGGAGGTTCCAACATCACACCTTAGAATCATTAGAGAAAAGAGGTCCATATCTCGATGGTTGTATGGATACACATACTCAATGCTCAACGCCTATCTGCTATGTCCGACAGTAAAAAGAAACATCGAGATTAATAGATTTTGCTACTGTGGCAAGAAAGTCGACTGACAATGGTTCCTCACCCCTCATTCTCCAGAAGAACCACCTTCTGAGGCTTCCCTTCAGCCATAGGTCAGGGGTTTGACGAAGAATGGTTCGGCCTGAATAAATGCATGATCAATGGAATAGCTCTGTTTCTTAGTCAAGACGATCCCACAATGCGACTTCGCTCGGGCTTGGGGGTCCGTAGTCAGTCCGCAGAGAAGGAGACAATGATATTCTCATGCCATCAACGTATCCCTTCGCCCATGTCCAGCTTGAAAGTCCGCTTGCTGCAATACAGCCACAGTGGCCCAACCGCTGAGTCGGCGGTGAACTACGCGGTAAGGAACAGACGTCAAGCTGATGATATTCGGGGGACATGACCACGGGACCTCGACCCGATCAATCACGTTGATCGCTCACCTGGACTTCACTCCAACATCACCGAGCTCTCATTATCGACAGTTTTCTTCCTCAACTGCTCTGCGTGTTACTTCACGGGATCGATCATTCACTTCCACCTCGCGTTTCCTTTCCTCTTCGCTTTACGGCCTATCTCAACCACCACTATCACACCGCAGCAACCACCATGTCGTCCCCCCCTCGCAGTTCATCGATCAAGCGACCTGACCCCAGGAATGCACACTCTCCTGTCCCCTCTGGTCCCCTCCTCCGAAGCAGAGCTAGCAAGAGTTCCCCGTCGGCTACCCCGCAGCAATTGTTTTACTCGTTAAAGAAGGAGATAGTCGCCACCAATGGACCTGCCTATTTTGAGAGAGATGGTATTGCGCCTGAAACAGGCCACCTGGTAGCCAGAAGTTTGTGCGAGGATGGCGATGTCGAACGCAAGAGCGTAACTATTTCCTACAACCCCATCAGCCTGGTCCTATCGATAAAGATGCCCACGGTCGCGCACGAGGCTGTTCAAGAGTGGGTAATCAGCGAAGTCAAAGTCAAGACCCTACTCACCGGCTTTTTTTCCGTCGGGGAACTGGATAGCATTTTCATTCTTGGACCTAGACGTAAGGAAATTAATATTCTCTATAAGTGAACCATACTGATAAGAGATATATAGGTTACGATTCTTTCCCCCCACCTTGGAACAACATTTATAAAGAGCCAGATGTCGCGATCACGTTTGCGGGGGTGCCTCTGCCCATGATCGCCGTCGAAGTAGGCTATACCGAATCGTGGCCCAAGCTTCTCCGGGACAGAGACCTCTGGATTATTGGGGGAGCCCCCCACGTCAACGCTGTCTTGCTGGTCAAGTGGAATTTACGCAAAAATAACCATGTCGCTGGTTATTTGGAACTTCATCGTCCGGGTGTAGCCAATCCGCCTCGTTTGGTGAGTATCAAAAAATTATTTGAACTCTTCTGGTGAAGTTACTGTTGATAAAGCGCTAACTAATGTTCTTCGTTGTAGCAAATATTCCCGAGCCCCCCTCAAGGCAGCCCCCCCCAATTTCTAGCGTTGAGACGCGCAGATTTCTACCCGGTCGGCCAAGTTCCAGTTGGGAGAAATCCCAACGACATATGTAATTGGAACATGGACAACCTGAGACGGATAGCGACACTACTCATGGCGGAAGAGGGCTTGTTGCCAGCGGTATAGCGCCCCAGACCTTTGTAGGCTTTCCACATGATGATGAGATGTATTTGAAACCACATCATCCTAGATACACCTCTAATGGAAGGTTGTGGTACATCTAGTAGTCTAAGTCATTGCTCTACACCATCGTCGCCCGAGATGTCGCCATAGCACCGACAGCCGGTGCTCTAGCGGCCGACATCCGGACCGTGAGTGGGAAGACGTTGTAAAGACGTTGTATTTGTTTCTTTCTTGTGTTGTTTTTCACTTTCCCTTCCTGCAAAGCTGATTTAAAGTAGCACTTGGTTGAACTGCCTCGCGACCCATAAAGTATAACCATCATGTGCGGGTTTCCATTTCCCCATGATATATATATTTCGTTTTTATTAACCCCAGTAGGTACCCGACGCAAGAGCCGATTGCAGATAGGCAAAGCTCCGGACAAGTAAAATCAAGCTCAATCGCGACGGCTGGACTTGCACGTTTCTATGTTTGTTTTCATTAGAAGTGAGAGGGTGCCATTGGTTCGCTGAGAGGCTACGATGGCGTATAAAATCGCCGGGTGGTGCAACTCCTGGTATGCCCAAGTCGGATAAGCCAATTCGAGCGGCAGCTGGTTCTGGCCAGTGGCCGGAGGGGCTCGTGCTTTGACAACACGGTCAAGACGAGAGGGTCCATCGTAGCTAGGAAATTCTCCTTGTCGCCCCCGCCGCAGGTACCGGTCGACATGCTTTCGGCGATGTCGTCTAACAATTATCTCATCCAGCTGCCCTGTCACGACATTCTCTACGGCAGTATGCCCCTGTCGGACGCAGATTGATATAAAGGCGTCTCATGCAGCTCCAAAGCCTCCGACCATGCATTTTATCACCAATTCTTGACAACCAAGGAATCATGGCCGGGGAAGAACCAAAGACTGTGCCAGTTTCTACCACTGAGGTAGATACGGACTCTCCAGTGGCCAGTACAAAGTACGATTCAGACAGAGAGCGCCAGGAAAGCCCAAGACAACCCCTTCCGGGGAAAAGCACCTTCGAAACAGAAGACCATCGCTTCTATCGACCAATCGACGGCTATGAGGGTATTCATCGCTGGGACCCTGACTTTGAATGGACCGAGGAAGAAGAGAGGAAAATTGTCAGAAAGGTAGGACAATCCATTGCTCCGATACGAACACCGAGCTGATAGATCTAGATTGATTGGCGTGTTTGCACGTTCGCATGTGCTACGTTCTTCGCACTGCAGCTTGATCGAGGAAATATCGGCCAGGCGCTCTCGGATACCTTGTTGCAGGACCTGAACATGACCAGCAATGACTACAACACTGGCCAAACCATCTTTTTGGTCTGTTTTCTGATTGCCGAAATGCCCTCGCAGTTGATCTCCAAGCGACTAGGCCCCGATCGCTGGATTCCGATTCAGATGGTGGCATGGAGTTTAGTCGCAGCGTGCCAGGCATTTTTGAAGACCAAATCAGCTTATCTAGGCCTCCGTGCCTTGCTCGGACTCCTGGAGGGTGGTTTCATTCCCGATACCATTCTCTTCTTGTCGTTTTTCTACAAGTCCAGTGAGCTTCCGAAGCGGCTTACCTGCTTCTGGATTTCATACACACTGACAAGCATCGTTGGCGCCTTCCTAGCCTTTGGTCTCCTTCATATCAAGGATTCTAATGGTGGCGGGTCCTGGAGGTACCTCTTCGCCTATGAAGGTCTGATTACCGGGGTTATCGGCATTCTTGCTGCCTTCTGGATGCCCGCTGGCCCAACCCAGACCAAAGGCGGACTCCGAGGCAAGGATGGATGGTTCAACGAGCGCGAAGAGAAGATTATGGTGAACCGTGTGATTCGCGATGACCCAAGTAAAGGAACGATGCACAATCGACAGGCTGTGACACCCAGGCTCCTGTGGTACTCATTAAAGGATTACCACATGTGGCCAATCTACGCTCTTGGCTTGATTTGGATGATCCCCTATACCCCGGCCGCCAACTACCTCACCTTGCAGCTGCGTCAGCAGGGATTCACCACCTTCCAAACCAATTTACTTGTAATTCCTTCAGCTGCCGTCAGCATGATAACAATGGTCACGACCACTTGGCTTGCAGAGCGTACGAACCAGCGTTTGCTCTTCGGTGCCGCCGCAGAGATTTGGTATTTAGTGCTACTGATCGCACTCGAAACGCTCCCGATGAAAAGCATGCCTTGGCCCCGATTTGCCATCCTAACTCTCACTGTCGGAGGGCCCAGCATTCATCCCGTGGTGGTGGCACTGACCTCGCGCAATGCAGGGTCTGTCCGGACCAGGACGGTAGCTTCCGCGTTGTACAATATGTCTGTGCAAATCAGTAGCATTGCCGGTGCCAACGTACGCTTTCCAATGAGCTTTTGTATGTTTGTCAGAAGCTAACGTTAGCTTACATAGGTCTACCGAGCCGACGATGCTCCATATTACAGAGAAGGAAATAAAGTCACGATCGCACTGGCTGTTGTGAGCTTCTTTCTCTTTATAGGAGCTAAGTTATACTACGATTGGCGTAATAGGTGGGTATCGATCAACCCTGGTCTTGATTAACTGCTGATCTTGCCAGGTGCAACGCCGAGAAATGGGATGCCCTTACGAGTGAACAAAAGCAACAGTATCTGCGAGAGAACTCAGTCATGACCAATAAACGGTGAGTGGTGGACTCGCTATTTTTCGTAGTTCCACAAGCTGACAACCTGTCCCAGACTTGATTTCCGCTTTGCCTCTTAGTTCATTAACTCGGGCTACTGTACCGTTACGATAAATATATTATTATGATCCAGTTCTCCGGTAGCACGGCTGGGGATCTAGTAAAACTGGTTATTGTTGCAGTGTTGGATAGAGAAAAATCCAAGCATACAACACCCATATGGGTTCTAGACAGATGCATAAGTAGCTTATCATGAATAGAAAAATTAATACATCTGAATGACGACTTAGCTTGAACTCTGTGAGCTCGAGTCACAGCCGGTGGGTAAAAGAAGCCTTGACATTATTGCTCGGGTATTGCGTCAACGTCACTTAAATGAGGCTATACCGGCTGATAAGCTCTGTTTCCCTGCACATTGGCCAATTGCTCTCCATCAAGCACGCCAAATGTTCGATAGCCTCCCAGCAGCTTATGGAGCACCCCACTCGTAGTGTCCTTCCCCTCTCTTCTGCCCTTCAATAACTGCGATGTACCCCCGATCTTGCCCCCAAATGCAAATCAGTCGCCGAAATCGGCACAGATACCTCCTGCCTACCTCGTTGAGCAAATCCAGATCTTCCTGTGCCGAGACAGTGTCCGCGTCCGCTAGTACCATGCCCCAGTGTCAGGCGTCATCCCTACAAGGGGGGCACCTTTGAAAACCGGACACCTCTCCGCAACCCTCCCCACATTCCCAGCCGCGGCACTGTTAGGCAGCACGCAATTGATGGACTCATGCACACGCATTTTATGTACTGTTGACGTGATATACGCATGTGCATAATGGCTATTCAGAAAATAATCTCATGGTTGCAGATGCCTCCAGATAAACCTGTGCATTGGTTCTCGGGCGAATAAGCCACTTCTAGCATTATCGTAACAACTACCGCTATGCAAGGCCCGTGTGGAGCATTTGTTGTAAGAATGACGTCCCATGAGATACATGTCTCTGGCAGACAGTCGTTGGTTGTCCATGGTTGTTTCGTCCATTGCAAGAAGAATGTCCATTGCCTCTATTCCCAGTGTCAATTGGCTAGCTACTTACCTTCTCGCTAGAAACATGCACACAGAATATTACAAGTGGAGATGTCCCCAGTCGCAAGGACCTTGGGTTGTATGAATATTATGCTTGGAGAATCCTCCTTATATCTTTCCAGTTCCTTATAATAGTATATTGATCACAATCAGTTGGATTCTTCAATCCTAGGACCCGGCCCTCAAATAGGAAGGTAGGTACCCACCGGGGGAATCTTCGTATGCCAGAGTTATAATAAAAAGCCCGATATTCCTCCAACAAACCTCTAAGCCAATCCAGTAGGGTTATTCAACGACATGATTAAATGCCTAAATATGAAATAATAGGAAGTGGGGAAGCCATAGCTCGAGCTACTATACGCTAAAGCACTAAATCCCTTCATAATGCTACTAATCAAAGGCTGTACAGCGATGCATTATGAGGATAAAAATCCAAAATAGGAAACCAGATGGAGTGGAGAAGTCTGAGCACGAGCTACTATGCGCCATGTGCACCAGCTGTACCCCGGAGCCGTGAGTATGCCAATCTGGGTCAGTAACTACTCCACGGACTTGCAGATGTGTCCCAGTGGTTAGAACGTTGCGCCTGAGCAGGACTTGATATTACTTCTTTGGAACTTGTATCGTAGTTTATAACTCCTAGCAACAATGCTCCAGGCGGGTTGATGGTTCGTATATACGCTTAAAGAAGGTAACTTATCCTACTGTGGGATCAGTAATCCCAAGGAGTACTGTAAAGGTATCCTCCACGGTACATCTTTGGTCTTCAACTACCAGTGTTTTGCTATTCCTGATGATGGCAGAGCCAAGAGTAAGCTTGGCTACCCTTGACTCCCACAAAGCTGGATCTCATGATCAAGTGTAATTGTGAAATCGGTAGTCAAAATGACGAACTCATGACTGTGTATTCTAGAGGTTGCCCAATTGACTTGAGTTTGAAGACATTAGGTTGGAATATGTCGCCATCGAGGGCACGCATCTATAGGCAGGATATATCTGCCGCTCGGATAATCGTACTTGTGAAGTTCCGATACAAAGGTGATGTACAGATGTCCTAGAGGCTTTTACATGACAAAGAAAACTACGTGATTAAAAGGTGTATGGTGCAATCATCCGGAGAGGAAGACGCAGGCATATATAGATACCTACTAATCTCCTGTTTTGAGGTACCCTACTAGTCAGGTCTCCTCTGTACACCTGCCCATAGAGACCCTGCGTAAGGATACGCAAGAACGGTAAAACAACAATGGCCCCCTCCATCGAAGTCACCTCACCCACCCCAGCCCCTACCGTCGTATCCGCAAAGGGAGACGTCGAGAAACCAGCCGGGTCAGGGTATATCCGTGAGCCACTAAAATACTCAGGCTCGCTGGACGAGTACAAGAACTTCGACGTGACGCCGGTTATCGGACGAGAGTTCTCCGATCTTCAGCTAACTGATATTTTGAACGACGAGCAGAAGATTCGTGATCTGGCTATCCTTGGTATGTGAGGCACATATGCCACGATAGGTGCGCGGGCATGGCAATGAGCTGACGCGAGGTATTGGTGTAGTGTCGCGCCGTGGTGTGGTGTTCTTCCGTAACCAGAACCTTGACTCTGATAATCAGAAGATTCTGGGCCAGAAACTTGGTGAGCTAACCGGGAAGCCTGCCACATCCAAGGTGAATCATCCACAATTGCTATCGGAGCAAGAAAACATCGACTAACTGAAATCAGCTCCACCGACACGCTATCAACAACAGCAAGCGCAATATCACTGTGAACGAGGATGGCAAACTAGACGATGAAGTCTCCGTCATCTCGTCAGAGACGAACCGAAACCTGTATGGTGACCGGTTCGTGAACAATACTCGCCACCTTGCAAGCTGGGGATGGCATTCTGAGTACGTACCTTTGTATAGTCATAACTAAATCGGAGCAGAGGAAAGGCTAAGAGATGGATCATTGTCTTGTAGTATATCCTTCGAGCGTGTCCCCTCAGATTACGCCATTTTGAAAATCACCCATGTCCCCGAAGACCAGACCGGTGGGGACACACTCTGGGCGTCGGGCTATGAGGTCTATGACAGGCTGTCGCCGCCGATTCAACAGCTTGCGGACTCCTTGACGGCCGTCCACCATCAGGTACGCTGCCTGAATAATCTCTCATGGAATGCCAGACTACTGATACTGATGATTCTAGCCATCATTCAGCAACATTGCCAAGAAGCACAGCATTGATCTTATCGAGGGAGACCGAGGTGCCCCTGAAAACACCGGGTTTGACTTCAGCGCTAGCCAGTATGTGAAACCTCATAGCCTATACACTATGAAACAGGAAAGCTCACAGATATCAGCCCCCTTGTCCGCACGAACCCAGTCACCGGCTGGAAGAGTCTCTTTGGCGCTGCACACCAAGTAGAGCACGGTTATGTGGAAGGTGTAACCCACCGCGAGAGCGAGATTCTCAAGCAATACTGTTAGTGTCTTTAACCAAACTCGGAAACCAAGCGGACATGGGAAATCTACTAATAGGTCATAGTCCTGCAACTTGTCGCTGAGAACCACGACCTTCAGGTTCGATTTAAGTGGGGAGCCAATGACCTCGCTATTTGGGACAAGTAAATTCCTCATGTCTCTCCACTGCTTCCGAGACCGTGCTAATCGTTTGACTTCAGCCGCTCCGTCTTCCACACCGCAACGAAGTGAGTTTCATGCAAACAGATAATCTCACATATACTAACATGATATTAGTGATTTCAGCGGAAGCCGCCAAGGAAACCGGGTCGTCTCTCTCGGGGAGATCCCTTATTTCGACCCTGCTTCCATATCCCGGCGCGAGGCATTAGCAGCGGAGGCCTAAGTCGCAGCATTCCTGCACTAAAGGCGACCAATTCTGTTGAGTCAGTATTAGGTGATTATATTTTGTATCACGGCCATGTGGATGCTAGACCTTTGAATACAAGAGCCGGATAATGTGTAAGTCTGCCTCACATTCGGGCAATATGTGCAGCAGATAGTCACACAGAGCGCTCATGTACCTGCTGTTTCCTTATTTACTGCCCTACATATGTTCATTTTGCAGTATCGGGTATACTAAGAGGGCGTAAACAGACATGCTTTTAACTTATAATCAAGTGAGTGAAAACTAACTTTGAATAGAAGTGACAAGCATAGAGTCTCAACGCATGCAGAATGATCTACAGTTCTTGGCGCATATTTATATTTTTTTTTCGCGCACCACACGATTCTGACCCAAAATATAATTTTAGATTACTTTAAGTAATTCAAGTAATTCAGGAAGCTCAAGCAGTTTAAACAGGGGTGGTCAGGCACAGCAGTACTCTATGCTCCAGAGGGTATCTGCTGGCAAGCAGCAGGCGGTATTGAGGTAAGGCTGACCCAGGTTTGGGTCTCAATGTTCCGTATTAAATTTAGTAAGAGTATAGGCACATTGGAGGATTAGCTGATGTTTGTTTCTCCAACGTCTGCACCTCCGACAGGGATCATAAAATCGTACTGCGTCTAAAAGCCAGTCAGTATGGTCGATAAATATATATTGGCTTTGGTAGCCGCCCGTACCTGATTGCATTATCATATGGCCAGAGAACATAAAAAGTAAATAAAAATTGAAAAGAAAGAAGAAAAAAGATCGACTCCACTGAAACACTTCATTTCCTTTCAATACCTACGCTGAAGCATCTCATTACCTCTACTTAGAGGTTTTATCTGAACCACCTTCTTCATGGGTTGGCGTCCGCTCGATGTCGAGCAATGGCATTTCGCCGTCTTCCCTCCGCCCTGGAAGCGTGGCTGTTCGCAAGCCTATCTGTTGAAGCCAAACATCAGTGGATGCAAGAACACTCCCTTGATCTGGATGTAGCGCATGTCCGAGTATCCTGCCCGGGGAGGTACGAGCAAGGTACGTTCGCATTTGCTTCAGACCGATACGCCTCCGAATCAGTAGCCAAATACTCCACGCTCCCAGTGTCAGACAGAGAGCAAGTAGTATAAAGGCCGGAATAGCGTAGAGAAGTCGATATTCAATGTTTTGTGACCACAGTAGAACGGGCACATTTACATCGCCGCTATCTCGCTTGGATAACGTCTCTCCATTCCTGGACGAGGAGGCGCTATGCCAGCCACGCGTACCAACCACAGTATTTGCAGCCATGTCAGTCCACATAAGTTTCAGCATCTGCTCAATGCCGGCTGGGGACTTGGATAGCTCAAACCATTTATTGTATAGAGCCAGATCGTTAAGTCCCGTATACCGAGAAGTCGATTTCTGGAGCTCTTTGACGTCGAAAAGAGATAGCAGCCTGTCCATATAAAATCGGTTCCCCGGCATGTCTGGCTGTCCGGTCTGGAGGTCCGATATGAACGAGTCTTGGTAGCCCGGGAGCCAGAGATGGTCTCTTTGGAGAGAAGAGATATCGTCACGACTGCCTACATCGGGCGACACGATGCCCCATAGAGGTCGTGCGTTTCTCATCGTGTGATTGGTTAATCGCTCGACACCCCAGAGTGGAGGTTTGGATGAGCCCGTGTAGCTTTTCTGGTCTATCTTCTCAACGTTAAGCTTGTTCAGCTCTCCTGTTCCATTGAAACTAAAGGTGACCGTGCGTATAGCTGCTTTGGCTGCGGCAGCACAGGAGTAAATTGGAGTACTCCAAGTACTGTTTGTGTCGGGGATGAGCGGGTCCCCATCAGTCCTCCCGGGGGCTGCGAAAACAGTGCCACAGGATACACCAACGAACGACAGGTTAGACAGATCCTGGATCGAAGGGTAGTGACAAGCCTCCGGGGCAATTGCGAACGTATCGCGTGCAGTAAGATTGACGGGGTTAGGGCCCTCAGGGGTATCTCTGAGGGACGTTACTGCACCGGAATTGTTAGGAAACGGGAGTTCAAGGAACCCGGCATACCTGTTGTCTGTCTGAACAGTCACAGGAGTAATATAGCTGCCGGATACGCCGCGCAAATCGAACTTCTTTCCGATATCCGAGTTCATATAAGCAAAGGGTGCCAGTCCATCTGATCCGTTGGTCGTTACATTGAAGAACTGCATGACGAGCATATTGTGTCTCCAGGCAGCATTGTACGCACGGTCATACAATGCTGCATTATTCTGGAAATCGCTTGTGTCTATCTCATTGACCGTAAGGGGCAGGCTACTGAAGCCGCCGTGGTCAACCAGGACTGGGTCCCGTGTGTTCTCAATCGTACTCGATGACTCACTGGACGGGTTGTAAGTATAGTCGATGGTCAGGTTAGTGTTCACACAACGTGCTTCGGGCTCTATGAACAGTATGTCTTCTGTCCACCTGGCACCTGTAGGTACATCCACAGGGATAGTATGGTTCCGGAAGCTATCCGTCCAGCCTTCGTATCAATAATCAACCCCTCAACCGCTAGGATTCCTTCCTCCATGATTAGCTGCGAGATTTGCCGGTAATACCCTTCAGAGTATGCACTAGAAATGAAATTCAAGCCGAAGTTGGTCGTCGACCGATATGACCGCCACTGGAGATCGAATATGCTGGAAACAGTCGGCGGTACATCGCCGCTCGTGAATAAATCCACACTACTCGGCCAGATTGAGTATGCCTCAGCAGGGTCTTCAATGTCATTGATATTTGAGGGTGCGCCAGGACATCCCTCCGGAGTATCGGGGTCGTCATCGGCGTAACAGATCCTAAGTGATCGATATCCATCTCTCGAGCGGGTAGCTCTTCCAAAGGCCGATGTATCGGAGACATAACGGAATGGGATATTTGTTAGGGAACCACTGGGGCCAATGGTGTCGTATAAACCCAAAGGGGTTACGATTCCAGCTACTGCAACAAGTCCAAGAGCACCCAACTGTAGCCATGTGCAAGCCTTGATCGCTCTACTGACCCCTGTGCTGGCAGCAGTATCGGAATCTAGTATCGTTGGCCAATATGACGAATGAATCAGCCGGCTGACAACGGACCTATTATTGTGTCAATACTAGCACTAGAACCAGAGAAAAAAGCAATACCATGAGACGATCGAATTCTCCTCTGGAAGATGGCCAATAACTATGAAACTTATAACAGTCGGAACGAATAGGCGGACTTGGAAATAAGTATCGCGTGTGTCAGATGTTCACAGATCGGTTTGTACCTACCAAGAAATACAGCAGCAGCAATGATACCAGACACATAACCTACTGTGAGGTCTGCCATGACAGGCGAAATTTTAATCACAGTTCCCCGACGTGCACTGACCAGAATACGTTCTCCCCTGACTTTTATAAACTCGGCGCATTTTATGGCCCGACTTGAGGTGGGGCTGCTGCAACAACGAGGCTCATATCTTTCAAGCCAAGCCACTTGGTACGAATTATGGACGCCAGACAATGATACCATCTCGATGATCAGCGGCTAATACGAGCGACTGTGGAAACAGGTTGACGCGAAGCGAGGTCCGTCGGTCTCGGCGGGTGACGATCAAGACACCGAGCCTCGTATACGTCTGTGCTCTAACATATCCTCATGAGCAATGTGACATTTTTCGCAAAATTTCTTCAATGCCAAGAAACTATATTTCATCTGCTGTCTTGACAGGTTGGGTCATAATGATTGTCGTAGCAGGCAACACGATCCGGGACCAGATCCTGGAATAATTGCGATGGTTCTTGTCATACGTAGATCTCCCAGCTGTCTAGATCTAACAACCTAAGTATAACCGACAAGGCGAATATAGTATATAGGCCATTTCGGCTACATACGAACAAAGCCACTCCTTGACCCTATAATGGCGTGTCCTAATGTGTCTCCATCGAGACATGCCAATCGCTTTTACTGGTGCACTATGACACAAGCAGCCGTGCGTCCCTGGCCTGGGATATTTTCCAGTTTTATCCGCTAGCTATATCATTCCAATTGTTCACTAATGCATGTTTAGATGCGCGAGAGTGTGGTTCTGACTGGATCGAGGTTTAACGAACGCCAAGTTGGCCTCGAAAGTATTGGAAAATTATCGATTTTGGGCCTGCAGGGAAAGTACTGTGTGGAAAAGGAGTGGCCGGGTCCTGTGAAGTACTTTTCTTTTCACACTGATTTATATAGTAATGGATTGTGGTTTTTCTTTGACAGTGGGACACTCTGCGCAAACAGGCATATCAGCGGTTGCATTGAAAGTGCGCGAGCTGAGGACGTCGATCAATAAGCTGTATTCTTTATCCTTCGTGGTGTAATGCTTCATATAAAAGATGCCGGGAAACTACTTACCCCAACCATGGCTATGACGCGCCATTTCGCAATAATCTATGTGTGTAGGGTGCCTGTTAGTCTAAAACACAGACTGCGATCGTCGTCCGACTACTTAACGCAGGGATGTAATTGTTCGGCGCGGAATGAGATATTCGAGTTGATCCCCAGCAGCCAAAGACCCCAGAAAGAGCTCCATAACTCAATATAAGCGACCATATCCCTACGTAGTCACATTCGCGTTCGATGTGCATGGCGGAAACCCATATAGCTCTGGATTCTAGTCTTGTTAGTAAACATATGCAGGATGCCGATGGACCATGAAAGTACCTCCTGAACAATGATGCATATTGCTCAATTACAAGGTTGTTGTCAGCCGTGGTACAATGGGTCTCCTAAATTCTGGATTGTACCTAAGTCGCGAGATTGACGGATGCGGTGTTCCCTTAGTTTTAGGGTTCAATCGAGATTGGTTGACCCATACGAATGCTTCCATCTGACATTAACGTGGTTTCCATGATGAAATAGATTACTATTAGTCTCCCTTTCGGTCCTCATATTTGACATTTGCTGATTCATAATATAAATGTTCGTTTTCGGCCTAATATCACGTAAGATGACGGCTAGATGCTTATGTAGTCGAGCTATTACTTGGAACGAGCGACCTAGACGTGAGCGACTGACGGTTTGCCTGAGATGACGAACGGCATTATCCATGGAACACCCCCTTCCAATACGGACAAAATAGCTGTGTCGCTGAACCCAGTTGCGGAGAATTTATTATATGACCTGGCTAGCCCTCCTTACGCTCCGTGCTTATCAGACAGCAAAACACAACAATCATCATAGCTTCAGGCCATTCTTAGCCATGACAGACAAAGAGGAAACAAACCACAGTGGGTCCTCTAATGACCACCATAGCTTGCTGAAGCTTCTCAGTGAAGCTCGCCATGACATTGCCAGTCAGGCTGGGCGGGTCCTCCCAGATCTGCAAGTCCTCCGGGGCCTGGGCTCAACGATTCTAGCGGGTGGAGTTATTGACGATCGACAATATCTCGTAAGAGGGCAAACTCGTAGCTCATTTTTACGTCCATGAAACACCCCACTGACTGTGTTTAGATCGAGGAGATCATTCAGGTTGCCGCATCGTTGCCGAATGGCTCAAGGCTCCGTGATGGCATCACGGCAGAATTCGTAAAGACCTTGTGGAATAGCCTTGACCATCCTCCTATAGCACGACTGGGGGATGAGTACAAATACCGTGCGGCAGACGGCAGCAATAATGTATCTTGTCTCCACAATCGCTCTCCAAACGATATTTCTAACGTTTGTAGAATCCGTTGTATCCCCAGCTAGGAGCAGCAGGGAGCCATTATGTCCGGAGTGTGACCCCTCAACACCCACGGCCATATGTGCTACCAGATCCCTCCCTAATCTTTGACAGTGCGTTTCCTTGTCTCCTGCAGCTAAGTATGGGCGTCCGCTGACTATATCAAGCTATTCTCGCACGCAAAGGACCTGCCAAAGAACACCCTTCCAAAATATCGAGCTTTTTGTTTCATTTTGCGACTATCATCATTCACGGTCGGTCAAATCAAACAACATTTGATGTTTGCTGGCTATGGACCTAACATCTATCCAAGATCTCTTCCGTACAGACGATGCTGATGTAACAAAACTGAAGAATTCGTCCTATCTGGACTTGGGACCTCTTTACGGCCACAACGAGGATCAGCAAAACCAAGTGCGATTATTCCAGAATGGACTTCTAAAACCTGACACGTTCGCGGAACAAAGACTCCTCGGCCAGCCCCCTGGAGTATGTGCCTTGATCATTGCATTCAATCGATTCCACAACTACATCGTCCAGGAGCTAGCCCTGATCAACGAAGGAGGTCGATTTAGCCTACCAGCCGGAGTGACACCCGATAGTCCCAAATACGCCCAGGCGGAGGCAAAGCGGGATAATGATCTATTCCAAACTGGACGACTGTAGGCTCTACCCTTTCGCTTCAAAGTAGAAAGTGTTTCTATAGTCTGACTATTCCTAGGGTTACCTGTGGTCTATATGTGAATATTATTCTGGGCGATTATCTGAGGACCATACTGAACCTCAACACCAACCCGGTAGACTCGGACTGGAAACTCGACCCGCGGACGGAAGTCAGTCCTTTGAACTCACCGTCAGTCCCCAGGGGGGTGGGAAACCAAGTTAGTGCAGAGTTCAACATGATCTACAGATGGCATGCCGCCATTAGCAATGAGGATGAAGCCTGGGCACATGAGTTCATGAAAGATGTGTTTGGCACGGAAGTGAATCCAGGTATGGACCTGCTCCCACCAGAATATAATGATATGTCTCTGAACCCGAGGTGGTGAAATGGTTTCAGGTACTTTGTCTGTTGATGAATTCGTCACCGGCCTGCGCAGGTGGTTTGAGGGTATTGACCGAGATCCCGGTCGGTGGACATTCAATGGCCTCCAACGACAACAGGACGGTAGCTTTAGAGACGCAGATCTCGTCAATATTCTGCAGACTGGGACTGAGTGTGTCGCGGGTGCGTTATTCTTCCTTTACACGTGCAAGCTTCGAACCCTAACTGTTTGGCAGGTGCATTCGGTGCCAACAATATCCCGCAGGCAATGAAGGCTATAGAGATGCTTGGCATACAGCAAGGCCGGGAGTGGGGATTGGCCACCCTAAACGAATTTCGACGTTTCTTCAAGTTGCAAACGTATTCCACATTCGGTAAGACACGGTGAAACCGTTGCCAATCTTGTGTCTAATAACTCTTTCAGATGAGGTGAACTCCGATCCCGCTGTCTGGGAGGCGTGTAAGTAGCATAGTTGAATATTGTATCAAACCACTACTAACCAAGCTATAGTAGAGGCACTCTATGGACATCCGGACAATATCGAGCTTTATGTCGGTATACAGGCCGAGGAAGCCAAGAAGCCATGCTTCCCCGGCTCTGGATTATGCCCGAACTTCACTATTTCAGCGACAATATTAGCAGATGCTAATACGTTGGTCCGGGGTGACCGCTTCTGCACTGTTGATTACAGTCCTGTCAATCTCACGAACTTTGGGTACGTCTCCATCCATGATCTCAATATTATCAACATCAAAAGGAAAGGGAGATATGAACCAGAGAAAGAACAACTCTCACTGAATTTGCCAGGTTTGCGAACACAGTCCCTGACTTCACCGTGGCAGGAGGGGGCCTGATGTATAAGCTCCTATTGCGAGCGTTCCCGGGGTGGTACACTCCGAACAGTGTATATACCTTGTACCCTTTCACAACTCCGGAGCAAAACCGGAAAATATTTGAAAAGTCCAAAGCTGCCGATAACCTGGAGTTTGTTAGGCCAAAATATGAAAGTCAGCCGACTGCCGTGACTTCATGGGTCGGAGTAACACAGGTTCTAAATGATCAGAAGACTTTTCGTGTCCCTTGTTAGTTACACGCTCATAACTGCTATCTCTTAACTCTGATCCTAATGTCTTGAAAGGGGGTCCACATACATACCAGCTTACGCAACACGATTACATGCTAAGCGGCGACTCTGCGGCAAATGCGCAGCAAAGGGAGTTCGTGGACGATTGTTTATATAAACCAACCGATGGCCTTGATGAGGTCAGGAAGTTTTACGAAAATGTGACCATGGACCTCCTGCGCCAGCATAGCCGTAAGCTGGGCTCAACATACCAGGTTGATATAGTGCGGGAGTAAGTAACCCTAGAACATTAGTCCAAAGGGTGTTGACCAACTCGCATTAGTATCGGGAATCTTGCACATACCAAATTCACGGCAGAGTTCTTTGACATTCCCCTACGGACTTCCGAGACCACCAATGTGACAGATGCCTATACAGAACGAGAGCTGTATAACATACTTGCAGAGCTGTTTGCCTATGTGTTCCTTGATGTAGACCCAGCTCAGTCGTTCAAGCATCGTGTCAGCGCGTCGCGGTCGTCAGAGCGGCTGGGGGAAGTTGTGCAGAAGCATTTAGCCAGCTTGAACAAACAGCCTTTTGCCATCGCACGCAATATTTTAGGCAGCCACAGTGCTAGCACAAAGAAGTGCCCGTTAGCTGACTATGGGCCAGAGCTGAATACTAGACTTTCTAATGGTGGAGGCTCGGTCGATGAGGTGATCTGGACGATTATCCCAACTGCTGCTGCCGCATGCGCTACTCAAGCCCAAGGTGTATGTTTAGTCCTTCAGGATACGGGACTCGCTTCTAATGGATTTTAGTGGGCTCAACTGATTGACCTCTATCTATCGGATACATATTACAAATATTGGCTGGACATTCAAAAGGTCGCTCGTTCAGACGAGAAAGACTCGTTTGAAAAGCTAAAAAGATATGCCCTCGAAGGGTACGCCCGACCCACGGCTTCCGATGCAGCAAATACGTTCCCTCATTGCTAATGTGAATAGATTCCGTTTATCAACCCCCGCCTTTGGTGTCCTTCGTTACGCAGCCAACAAGACCACCATCAATGACCGGGTGCGAAACATCCCGATCAAGGAAGGGGACACTATATTGGCCGACTTTGTCTCAGCTGGTCGAGATCCAACCAAATTCCCCGATCCTGAAGCCATCAAGCTTGACCGTCCTGACGACCTGTACATACACCACGGATGGGGGCCACATTCATGCCTTGGGCGTGAGATTGTAACGGTCGCGGCAGCTGCTATGCTTTATGTCTTTGGGCGGGTGGAGGACCTTAGGCGTGCCCCTGGTCCGGCTGGTGAGATGCAGAGCAAATTGGTCAATGGGGCATTCAAGGTCTATTTGCCTGAGGACAGGATGGAATGGACTCCATTCCCTTGCAGTCAGTACTTCACCAGGTAGATAAACATTCGAGTGTTGGCTAATTATCACCTAGACAAAAAGGTCCTATTTGACAGTCTCTAGGGTGTAGGGGGTCGAAATTGTGGGAAGGACCGAGTCCATCAGGCTACAGGACTCAATTCCGTAAGTAGGACGATTCTGGTGAAGAGTGCGACGATTTACTCGACAATCCGCCCAGTAACTGGCCATGTGTGGTGACATGTTTCGACCCTGGCCGGGCGAATTGGGGGATGACTGAATGGGCATGTATCGCATCTCTTTTTATTGTGAAAAACAAGTCGTTCATGTACTTAGGTAATAGCATTCGCTACGATATTTTTCCCTACTGAAGATGAACACGGCGTATACAGGCTTTCGAAAGGATAGGTTCAATCGTAGCTTCATTGACGGTTTATAGACACTATCCTATATTCAGCGTTGTTCTGTGCTTGGCTAGGCGCCCAGGGGAATCCGTGTCTCATGAGTTTCAGATCCAGTGCTGTCTTCGATCTAGATTTCGGGGAACTCCGGTCATGTACAATACATCTCCTTTGGCGCACTCTGCTATCTTCCTATTATAGCTTTCCTGCCTGCACGACCTATCGTTTCCACTAGTTGATCCACATATGCGCGTAGTTTGAGCGGCCCGCGCTTGTGGGCATACTCGCCCAGCCACGACCAGGACCTGTACTCTATGTTTGATCAATTGGAAGTCTTTGGGTGGTATTGTTGGCCAATTGAAATGGACCACACAAAGGCCATCCTCCCTTTGATGGAAACGGTGAACAAGGTTTTAGCGTTTGCGAGTTCCATGTTACATGGGATCCTTCTTTTCCCTTCTGGCATCGCTCAAAGTGCGGTCATCATTGCGGCTAGAACAGTCCTTGAATGATTTCCTACAGCTGAGAAGACAAAAAAACAACCCTACAGAGCGGAGCCAGCATTCATGAGGAATTTGATCACTGCCAACGGGATGGTTGGGTGTTCCAACTTGCATGATTAAAATGCGCTGATTCGCACCATGCAACCTGTTGTGGTCTCATACTACTAGTAGTACATCGCATGTATTAGTTTAGGTTCGGATTTCCCTTAATTCTCATAGGGCTGCGAATCGTAATTTCTCACTGATCAAGGTTTAGCAGTGGAGCCACACGCGTGCGGGCGAATAAATCACGGGCATCGTATGAAACACCGCCGCTCGTTCCATGGTTCGTACCGGCCACATGCTATATGCTCATGACTACTACATAATCTGGACGATTGATGCTTAGCTTACCTGCATACCATCGGCGTGGCCGGGCTGGTGCTGTGGGGTGCATTCATCATGTCCATCCTGCTGCCCGATTTGGGAAACAGACCTAAGGCTCCATGCCCAGAACCCATGCTAGATCAAGGTTATCAAGTATTTCTGGTAATTCACTATATGAATAAGGTAATCAGGCGGCCTACAATTAGTGTTAGGCCACCTGTCATACCCATCTCGGAATACATGGTCGGAAAGAGCGACAAACAAGTCAATACAAGGGGGTATAAGTAGTGGTATGGGACAAGCTCGCGTAGGAGCCTGACAGTAGCTCAGCGTCTTGTTCTCGTGGTAGCAGTCTTTCAATAGTAGCAGTTTCGTTTCAGGAACTGTCTCCAGTCATTGGACCGTGGCCTTGTCGATTAACCTCATAGCTAATGGGTCTGTTACGAGACGACACGGTACGTTCGCTTGTTCTGTCCTATGGCACCACATATTAACCTCCCTGAGCACAGTGGGTTCCAGAGCTGTGGTCCCTTTTTGGTGTCGGGCAATTTATTCTATTGTCTCGTGTTGGGCTACGGTGCTGGTTACAAGGTTTCCGTCATCCGGCAGCCGAGGACTTTGTCTCTCTCCTGATTCCCGCCTTCTATACTGTATGTGCAGCCGGGTGCTATCTCGTTTATATCAACGGAAACAAAGTGGACTTCACTCAGGCTGAGATCAATGCCTTAACCGACGAAGAAGCTCGCCGTCTTATTCTTGGGACGAAATGGGAGCTCGTCTTAGCATACTCCTATCCAACCGTTCTCTGGCTCCTGAAGGCCAGTTTACTCCTGCTGTACTGGCGCCTGACGAGTGGACTTGGGCGACACCGCCTCTTAGTGTTACTTATTGGAGTGATTTGTCTTCTTACCTGGATTGGGATCATGCTGAGTATGTCCCTTGCGTGCATTCCGTTCAAGAGATTCTGGGAAATCAAGCCGTTGCCTCCCATCAATTGCATTCAGCCACCGAATATCTTCATTGCGTTAGCAGTTTCAAACGTTTTGTAAGGCCTCTTCCTCCCATTGTTGTGCAGATCAAGCTAACAGGTTATGAATGAAGGACGGACTCTGGGGTACGTAAAGGCTGGCCGCAAGGAATATCAGTATTGACCTCGCTTAGATTATCGCGCTACCGATTATTTTACTGGCGAGACTCCAAGTCTCCAAAGCAAAGTGAGTTCCTTATGCTTCCAGGACGACTAGTATGTGGCGACCGGGATCAAACTCCTAACGAGCGAAGGAAATTGAAGATTCTCTGCTTCCTCAGCGCGGGAACAGTCGTCCTTATCACTGCGTAAGTACATACAATGCAGAAACCTTTTTAAGACGAAAGATAGGTCTGACCACTAACGCTGTACAGAATTGTGCGAATTTCAATTACCCTGTGGAAACCAGGCCAGCTCAACTGGAATCGGTGCGTAAATGTGCTCCCTCCCATATCAACATTATTAGCGTTATTAGCGTTATTATATGAGTCTGATATAAGGTCTGCATCTTAGCTGGGGCATGCGAGAAATGTTCATTGACATTATCGCTGTCTACATCCCGGCCTTTCGAGCCATTCTTCGAAGCTCTTCGCAAAGTCGACATAGCTCGGTGCCTAGCGAGTCAAGTGTCGCGATTATGTGGCCCTCCAGTCCATATCATCGACATCTATCACTAGACTTGGAAACGGCATCCCCAACTGCTCTGACCCCTGTCATGTCTGACCTGAGATCCTAGTGATGAAACAGGCAAGGTTGTCAAATATCTCGCCGATGCCGCTTAATTAATTTTAGATGGTATAAGGACTAATATCAAGATCAGAGACAGAAAAGTATAATCCACCCAAGTTCATCATAGACTTATAGTTTATACACAGGGTTAAGAAGATGGCAATATGACTTTGGCCTTGTCGATTTGTATTTTATGTATCTGCAAGTGTTGGCTGCGTCCAGCATTGTCAAGTTCGACTTAGCTTGCCTCTTATATCTCAGCACTCATCTGGGCCTTCCCGACACATGCAAAGCACAGTTCATTCTCTTTGTCCTGTATGAGGAGTGGGAACAGTTATTCCACTGTAGGGACTCAAGCGTCGGTTATGGTTACTCCATCCTGCGACACCTACTGACATCTGGTAATTGGTATGAATATCTTGAACTAAAAGGTTCACATTACGGCATTGTCATTACCTTTCGTTGTAAAGAGTAAAATAGCCAATCTTGTGATCAAACATTTCGAAATATCTAGATTTAATCTTACAAAAGAAGAAATCACTTACCCAGCCCTGCCGGCCACGAGTCGCTATCGTCCCCAACGGCCACCATTTCAAGCATGTCAACCATACAGTGTCTTCCGGTTTTGCTGTCAATTGGTACCTCTATTAAAAGTGGGACAATGGTCCTAAGTATATAGATCGCTCGGCTATGGAGTTTTGCTGGAATCAAGGAGTCTACCACCAACGTTGATAATTCGTTCTACATACGAAGCAAAGCTTGTTCAACATGTATTTTGCACCTCGACCCAGACTACCCTGAGGAGAATCATCGATCTTAGGCCATTCTAGTACTATATTCATAACATAATGAAATTTGTTTGCATTATACCAATGCCAAATTTCGATTTCAAACTCTATAAATTACAAACTGTTGAAAGTTGGAAACTGTGCAGGGACTTTGGCCGCTCCAATAGTCAAGCCGCTACTTTCCGTTATTGAAAGGTCGCTATGACCCTTACCAACTAATCATATTCAGAGGGACGAGACATTAAGACTGTTACGCCGTGCTGAAGAACAATATACCTTGCACCAGAAAGACATCCAATCTCAAACCCAGCAACTTCCCATCCCGAAAAGGCCAGAGCGCCTTCCCACGACAACGTAATCTATACAATATCACTCATGTTCTACCAGTCCAGAAATGACGACGAGAAATATTAGGTTCTAACCTAAAATAGTGAAACGTATCGAAGGAAAATACATAACACTGTCTCAATCAGGTGTAATACGTCCAGACTTAGATTGCATGTCTGGTTTTCACTGTTGATATTCTTCCTTTCCTCATGCGCGGGTGTTTCAAGATACCGAGCCCAGGTTGGTGAGCAGTTAGGAGCATCCCACCAAAAAGTCCTTATAACAGCCCCCTGATAAGAAAAGATGGTTTCATGAGATCACCTCGTTCGGTAAAAAAACAGAAGGAACGAAATGACTTCGCTACATTGCCATAAGCGGACTACAGATCTGCTCCTTCTCCCGATAATACTCCTCATAGATACCCGTTCACATTACGAGGTCCGCGCACCTCAGCTTGTCAAGCGGTCTCCTTATCGTTCTCTGGGCAAGCAGGGAGTGCAGCCGTCCACTGCGCATCGCTATGGGGTAGCCACGGCTTCGGCAAAGGCCAGTCGCTGAAATGCACCAGATATGCCCGGGAGATCTCCACCATCGCATTCCACTCCTCATCTTTATCCTTGGCCATATACTTCTCATGATCCGTACTCCGAGGCTCGCCAGTCAACAACGCAAGCGGACGATGTGGCCTCCGCCAAAACCCGGCAATAGTTGTCCTCTCCAGGTTCAATAAGCATAATATGCGAGCCAAGAACCTGGCTTTTGACGCTCTGATCGGTTAGACAGTAGGTGCAGGTATTTGGATTTGATCTCATCAAGTATGCAGTGCTCGCGAGAGTTGCATTGATATCACACCGTTAGCTTTCCATCGCGCAAAGATATATATTCCCAAGGGCGTTTGTGACCTCTCCCCACTCCTTTGGATCAATCAACACCTTCTCATACCTTGTAGAGTAACGCTCCAACAGAGCGACATTGATCATCTGGGTCGTGTTAATGTCAGTGAAGCGCCGGGGAATTCGAAACTTCCCTTCCACTCACGGCATTGCAAAATAGTTTATATCCGTGGCGTATTGCACATACGCAAATCGAGGGTACAGAGGCTCAGTTGTCGAAGCAGTTGTCCCTTACCGAGCCCACCTCAATCGCGATCTCGATGGTGGACCAGGGAACCACTATCAAAGCCGGCACAATAGTCAACCCAATCTGGCCCTTTCGTTTAAGCGGCAAGGTGAAAGGCTAAAGGAGAATCTAGAATTATGTTGACATATGTATAATACTAAAGTTCTAATCGAAACGTGGGAATCAGATCAATCCAAAGGAGATAGACACCATGCTGTATCGGAGACTCTAGACAAGCACTGGTAGCGCAGAGAAATGTAATATACACAAAAATACAAGTATGTGTAGTGATATGTACACGAAGAGAAAATTAGATCTTGCCCGCACCAGCGTTCTTGGGGACGTTAGCCGCGGCCTTAGAAGCCGGGGTAGCAGGGGCAATCTTGAGTCCCTTGAAGTCACCGAAGAATGAAGTATCCTTGAGGGCAGGAAGAGTACCCGAATTGGTGAGAGAATTGACTTCGCACGCGCGACCAAGAGCAGAGCTGCACTGCTTGTTGGAATTGGCGTCGGGGGAGAAGAAAGCCCTGCCCTTGAAGTCGGCGACAATACCCTTGACATCCGTGAAGACGTTACCCTCGAAGATACCTCTGGCAGTTGCCTCACCTCCCTCAAGAGCGTGACCAGTATTGCCATCCCAGACATTGTTCACGGCGTGCAGGAGGGTGCCTCCACTCAGAGCAGGGCTGCGGCCAGAGGTATGGTAAATGTGGTTGTTCTGAAGAGTGATCTGGTCTCCCTTGCCAACCATCTCAAAGGTCCAGTAGTGGTATCCGTTACATCCGGCGGAGAAGGGGCTGTCACCGTTGATGAAGTTGTTGGAGAGAGTCACGCGCTTGCTGGTGTTGAAGCCGAAGACATAGTGCTGACGTCCAATACGAGCGGTCTATATGCTATTAGTATTGGGCTTTGAAAGGGACGACAATGCACATACCGTAACATGATCAACCCAGATCAGATCAGCGCCATCAAAAGAGATGGCATCACCACCCCACACATACTGGGGGTTCAGGTCAGTGATCTGGATGTTCTGGACGATGATGTTGGTAGCGCCACCACGGAACCTAAGACCCTTGCCCTTGATGACACCCTTGTTACCGACACCGATAATAGTCTTGTGTGAGGCAACATCGATGGGGGTCTTGGCAGCGGTGTCCCAGGTTCCCGTGGATTTGGCGGCGCTTCCGCAGTCGTCCTGGATGATCTTCTGGCACTTTGCGCCTTCACCCCAGTTGGCACACACCGTTCCCTTGGAGGTGCCCTCGGTTCCGGTGTAGTCGTACAACTTGTCAAGGACAATCACACGAGGGGAGGGATCGGCGAGCAACTTCTTGAGTTCGTTGATGTCTTTTGGGGTCTGAGGTGCCGCGTTACCACCACCGGTCACGCCAGAAGCGAAGCCTTGCGCGGCACCGGAAACCTTCTGTGCGACACCGAACTGGGAAAGGCCCAAGAGGGCAGCGATAGTGACTGACAAGAGCTTCATAGCAGGCAAGAGGTTCCTCAAATCTTAATAGCTTGAGAAATGATATCTGAGAGATGACAGCGCAAGCCATGAGGGATCTACAGCCTTTTAAACCCTCGGCCGTCACTCCCAGGCCAGAGGCAAGGTAGAGGATAACGCGGTAACAGTCGAGAGGGAAATTAGGGAGCGGGTGGGTCTATGGTTTGAAGGATGAGACAGTGTACCGCTCTACACATCCGTCCCCTAGGAAGCCAAGACTAGGGGTCATCCGGTCCCTGGAAAACCAGAAGCTCTAATTCTCCGGTTCGATCTCCGACCCTGCACTCTTTCTCCACTAATTGACTCTTTTCTGGAACGACCCTGCCCGTATCTAGAACAGGTGGGTACAGCCATCTCCATCTCTTTACCTAATATGGAAGCCCCCGTCGAGCTAAACGCAAGCACTAAGGGCTCGGATACCGTGTTGGAATGGTTCGGTTGAGGGCTAACGAAGTTCGAGCGCACGGATGTGGATGTGGTCCCTCTATAAAGGTTTCTCCACATTCCGGCTCCTCCGGCTTCCTGCTACAACTACCCTTAATCATCAAACCGTATGATTGATACCATATTGACACGGGTTGGTGGAAAGACAACATGTCTCTAGCAACAGGCCATGGCCAGGAAACGGGAGTGAACGGGGAAACAGAATCAGACGGGGGCAGTGGGGGTACTACCAATCTTCCTATAACGGCGGGTGCCTATTTTGGAAACCTTCTTCCCAAACACAGCCTCATATAGCTTATGTTTAGTATTATAGGGTTAGGTGGACCGACCAGTGGAATTCCAGGAAGATGGAACAAGAACCGTTGCGTGAGAGAAACTAGGCGTTAGGGTTATCATCAACTTAAAACACTAGTGGCGCCGATCGTCCCTGCGCCGAGCGATAGACAGGGTTCGTCAGGGTCAGGCCCTACTTTCTTTCCGTGCTTTCAAATACCCACCGACTACTCCGTACTCGTAGTTACTTTGCCTCTCTGAATTCCATGACCACGTCAGCCGAGAATATGATTATTGAGACGCAAATCAATAGAGCGCATGGCATATCACAACTGGGTACCTCCGACTCCACATATTAGGTTCAGATAAACACGCTTTCTTCATTAAAATATAAATTAAACCTGGCCTCATATAACAAGGAACCAATCTCGCTATTACACTCTCCGGAGAGCCTAGTCTCCTTATGGAAGTTGTTATACGAACCGTAGTGGAAACGTCATCCAGTTAATCTGATATGTTTCAACTAAATTCATTGGGACGAGCAATGAAGATGATTTCCTATTCATCCGTGATGTCTGAGATTAACTACCAATTGTATGGCATGCTCTACGGAAGAACTCCCCGTAAGCTCTAGTGAGATCGTCGAGACAGTGGTGGTCGCCAATGTATCTAGAATCATCGCCACCAGACCATCCGCTTGCAAGAACCCTTCATGGCCATTTACGCGTTTTTTGCGGTTGAACGGATGGAACGGATTACATTATCACAGCATCCATTTTACCTACGAATTGAACCTTTGACCACAATACTACTGTTTACTCCGAGTTTATATATGTTTCACATTTATCTCAGCTTGGTATTCAAGACTTTTTGGAATTTATTCTCGTGGCAGGAAGCGGCTTGAACGAGGAAAGAGAGCAACGGGGGTTCCGGGGTAACTTTGCCTGGAATTTCGGGTTAAGCCCCTCTCATGTTAGTCATTCCAGGATGTCTTCTAGAAGGATTTGTTTACAGTGAGAGCAGTGTGGAATGAATGGCGACGGCATGTTCCGGGAAAGCGTTTTTATCACTCGGCCCCAGGGGGGCTTACATGGACTCGGTTAAATTCAAAAAGCCAGTATCTGAATGCCAATTACGGGCATGTCGGATATTTGCAGCTTGGGCCCACGAGTTCGTCTAGGGCGTTAATATCCCCCCCTCTCTGCTGTCCGTGAGCGAGGTATGCGATTGTTGACATCTATCAATACCAGGATTGGGGATTGATACTTATTAAACTGAGAGATAAAGCAAACTTCGCCGCTTGTCCCCTAGAAGGCTTTAGACATTTGTTCAATTGTATAAACTATTCAAACTTTGCAATAGCATCTTGCTAGGTTTACAGCCAACAAAGCGGCGTTGAGCTAACCTATTCTATAAAATATGAAGGTATCACAACAACATAACGTCCCATTACTTAGCTCTGTTCACGGCCATCATCAATGAAATACTATTAACAAAAACGACTACAAAAGAGGACATCTTACTCCTGGAGACTATTCCAGAACTGCTGAACAAACCCAGCGACCTCCGGCACCCGTTCTCTAACCACTCCATGGCCTACCTGCGGCACGACCTCAACATTCTCCATCCCAAGCTCATGCAAGTCCTGCGCGCTACACAAGTCATCCAACTCGCCCAGAACACATAGGGACTGGATCCCCGTCGTCGCTGCTTTCGCAAATTCGGCATGTTTATCAAAAATCCCACCATCCCTGAATATGGCGACAACGCTAGCGACATGCCCTGGATGCTCTCTCATTTCCCAGTCTCTCACGGCCTCTGCCACAACTTCACCTCGTCCAACCCGCTCCTTCCAATCCGAAGGCACAATCAACCGGCCCCCTTCCAGCACTTCCAAGATCCAATCTCGCGCCGCTTCTTCCACGCCCTCCCCACCACGCAAGTAACCCTGCTGTACCTCACCCAGCCCCGCAGTGCGGCGCAGACCTGCCGGCGCGACCAAAACCATCGACGCGACGCGCTCGGGGTGCGCAGCCGCGAAGCTTGCAGTCGTGGACCCGCCAAAAGAATAGCCGATGAAATGGGCATCAGCCCATTTGAGGTGCGCCATCAAGGTCTCTAGTAATCCATGGAAGAGAGCCGGGTCGTGCGCCACAAACGGTGTTTCCGTAAGTCCGTGGCCCCACAGGTCGATCAGGACACAGTGAGCCGATGGGAAACGCGATGACAGTGCGCTAGCTAATGGCTGGAGGCCGATTGCGGGTGTCTGCACACCATGGACAAATAGCACGCGAGATACAACCTTTTTCCCGTCGGCAGAAGCAGGCGATAAGGGCAATAGCTCGTAGTATGCTGCTTTGCCGTGGGGTGTTTCTAAATATGATGCTGGGGGAAGCCGGTTGCCGAAGGTTGTGACAAAGGAGGCTTCCGATGGGGCTGGGATGGGCTGTACTGCGTCGCTAGATGGCGCTGCCCCTGGCCGGGGAAGGACAATCAAAGATTTGGGCATGGCGGGGATAGCTTTTGATGGTGGGGATGATACTCGTTCAGGTGGAGAGATATTCTGTCCTTATCACGTCGTTTTCTGCCTTGTGTGTCCGCCTTTGTTCGAGGCTACAGACCAGAGTCTATAACACTTGGTTGTATACGAGGTGCGGCAAGCGCGAGACTTAACCTTCGGAATACCAGGTTTACTGATAGGGGACTACATCGGATCCGGATGAAAGACGGGTAGATTTATTCTATTGAGATCTAGGGAGATATTTCGTCAAGACACGACATGGGCAATCACCATCAGGAATCACCATAACACAGGTGGACCAGCTGCTTTTTATATTTGTTCATTCATATGTGAAAAACGTGCATCCGTAGATTGTAAGATCTACGGACAAGCCTCGCTAGATCTCAGCCCATTCCGTATATCACTTGGAAGCCTTTCCTCCCTCAGCTATCCGTCCCATTTACAACGTTTGTCCACCTTTTCCTCAGTAAATGAGCAGCTGCCTTTGGCCGCCGATCCCTAGTAAAAACACCCTTCTTATTTCCATCGACACGGCCAACTCCCGCAGCAGTCTGAAAGTCCGCAAAGTTCCAGACATGTTCACCTGTCATGGCATCAAACCGATCAAAGACCCGATGATACATATCCAGGATCTCCACTTGGAACTCCTCACTCCAAAGAACTGGCAGGACCGAGTGCAAGCCCGCCACCGTGTCTGCTCCGTACTCCGTCATGACAATGGGTTTGTCGTACTTCTCAGTCCATCCGTGAAGCTCGTCCACCAGCGCGGCTTCGGCCTCGTCGAGCTGGGCCGTTTGAGTGTACCAACCAAAATACCGGTTCAGGCACAGAACATCAAAGAGGTCTGAAATACGGTCAGCCTGGTAGCTAGCAAGCCCCACATTGGCAAAGGTGACAGGGCGCGTCGGGTCGAGCTGTCGAGCCAGCTTCGGCAGAGGAGCGAAATATTCGCGGGCGCCGTCCTCGTTGGAAGCGGGCTCGTTCGCGATAGACCACATCACCACGCTGGGATGGTTTTTGTCACGGTGGATAAGCTCGCGAATAGACTGGGCGTGTGCTTCGCGGGTCCTGTTGTTAATGCGGTCTGGGCTAAACGTCGCCGGTGGGTTGGATGTCCGGGCGCCTGCTCCGATGGAGAATGCTAGACCAACGGCGGGTGTTTCATCGATCACAACGATGCCCTGTCGATCTGCATATTCCATGATCTCCTCCGCGTATGGATAGTGCGAGGTTCGGAACGAATTAGCTCCCATCCAGTGTAGAAGTTGGAAGTCGTGCACCATGTAGGCCTGATCGTGACCTTTGCCGCGGATAGCAGTGTCCTCGTGTTTGCCGAACCCAGTGAAGTAAAAGGGTTTATCATTAATGAGGAACTGTGTGCCCTCCACCTTCACCGTGCGGATTCCCGTTGCTAGTTTGTATGTATCGATAGTTTTGTTGGAAGAGCCTACGATGCTGGCGTGGAATTGGTAGAGATACGCGGCGCCGGGCTGCCAGAGGTGGACGGATGGTATCTGGATGGTGCCGTTCGATCCAGACGCTGTTGCTACCTTTGTACCATCTTCATCTAGAACAGCGATCTGGATCGTTCCGCTTGACACACTGGCCACAACACTGTAGTCAATCAAGCCCGTGGTGCCTTGAACATCCGTCCGAACGGTGATATCCTGGATGTGCTCCGGTGGCACGGAATACAACCACACCGACCGAGCCAGGCCGGCATAATTGTAAAAGTCATGCTGATACGTTTGCACCTTTTTACCTGTCGCTTCAAGAACTTCCACTTTGCCAGGTGGGATCGTCTCATACGTGAGTTCGTTGTTGACAGCTATTGTCAGGCGGAATTGCTCTCCGGCGGTTACAAGCTCGGTGATATCCGCCTCAAATGGCGTATATCCACCCACATGCTCCGCGACCAGATGGTCATTGACGTAGATCCGGCCGTGATGTGTGGCAGCTTCGCTGCGCACAAAATATCGTTCTTCGGACCAGCCCTTTGGCACAATCACGTCGCGCTGGTAGTAAGCCCACCCGACATGATCATGGATCTCGCTGTCCACAAAGATGTCATTGTAGGACGCCGGGACCGGACATTCGAGGTTGGTTTTCAGTGGGCCTGTCCACGGTCGTGAACTGTTGCCGTCGGACCCCAAGGCAAATTTCCAGAGTCCATCAAGCGATATGAGCTCTCGTGTGACCGTCTGCTGCGGCTTGAGCATGGCCTGGGAATAGTTTCCGCTAGCTGGGCCATCGCGCAGATGATGGGTATGTGTGTCTGTGGGGACAGTCAAGGCAAGCGGAAGAAGGGAAAGGAACCCTAGAGCCTTCAGAATTTGCATGGTGCGTGGACTCTGCATGAGCAAATACCCTTGAGGTCCTCTACGATAGACTCGCCTACCAGAGCAAGATACTCAGGTCGTTTAAATAGCACCCTGGCATGGTCAACGGCTATTGATCCTTGTCGGCAACTGATATGTTGAGCTCAATACCCGGACATTGTTCACCGGATTGGCTGATGGCAAATTCATACTCCGATATAGATTAAGACTCATTGCGGGGTACATGTAGGGTCTCTGGGGATAGGGTGGAATCACTCTAGCAGCGCAGCCAAGACTGCGGGGAGACACTAATGTATCGGGATGTGGAGGTTGAGTACCGATGATCGCCACTCGGTTTGTAGCAAGGAAAGTGGAATGCCGGCTTCAGAGACCCTGAACGACCCATCTGTTCAGGGCGTGTGGCAATCCACTGCACGGGTTATGTATGTGAGGGAGCCTATAGCAACGGATAAACGACCTTCCCACGCAGGTGGCCGATATTTACCTGGCTTCCTAGGTTCTTTATATTGAGCTCACGATATAAGCCCTACTACAATATCAACGTAGCGCAAAGAGTTATTCCTGTCTGGTATTTTAGTCAATTAGTAGAGACGCTGCATGTACGGTACGATAAGTGAGTCTCAAAAATGATACATATTTTCGTCGTGGTTAGGGAAGTGTAGGCAAATTTCTCGGCTAATTCAGTATTCCCAAGACACCTCAGCATCACTATTCTTACTTCGGTGAATGCCTCGTTGGTTAATTAGACCTCCGAGGTTGGTTATACGGAATTTTAATATACTCAATCGAGATACGTATATTGACTGATTATATCAGGTAAATTCCCCGTATCGGATTGCATATATTGACGTTTTACTCTAGTATCCTTCTTGTTTTCATCTGTATCATTTTACCTTCCACAGCTCCTGCTGCTCGTCATTATCATCATTATCATCGTCCTGGGTATAATACCATGGCAAAAGCTGACTGACATATGGTCGGAAAACACTGCTATTGATGTTTCTTTCGGGAATCCCAACCCGGTCGCACATATTACACACTTCCAGATATCATTTTGCTGCAGTGTAAGTGTTATACTCTTCCATTCCTTGTATACACCTATACTAATCTAGTATAAGGGGCGAACCATACTCTCAGGAGAAAGGAGACAAGGACTGGTATCCCAGCATCACAAAAGACAAAATATTCGGAGTCAAATAATGAAATGGCAAGTCCAGTATCGGCATCTTAACCACTGAGCATCCAGAAGCCCGGCTTACGATAGTTAGTGCGTTGAAGGGGATCAGTGTTGTACAGTGGCTAAGATAGACCAGCCCATTGAGATAGTGCACATTTCATATAGTATAATGGGTAAAGCCCAGACCGGGCAGCAAGTCTTTCGGCTCAGCCTAAAGAATCCTTTGGCGACCAGAAAAAATCGAAAAGTGGAGGAGAGTCATGTTGGGCCCGGAGGGCATGGAAGTCCTCCAGGACCTCCCACCCTCTTTCGTGATTTCTATGGCCTATGGGATAAAGCATGCTTTGCCTTATGGCCAGTTGAACATCAGACTATCACAAATCCGTAGCTGTCAAGCTTTTCTGCATACCCATCCCGAAACACTCGAATGCCATTGATGTCAAGATGCTACCTTCTTTCCCGTCGATTCAGCTATATCGGCAAAGCAATAAAACTGCTTAATTACAAGACTAGAGGGCAAATTCCTTCGGATGATATGACCACCGTTCAAACAGCTGACTCTGAGAAATATCCTTTGCCATTATTCAAATTACTTGACATGCAGTGGGCATTACTCCTTCTACAATTGGATGTGCATGTTCCTCTCTTCTCGCCCTCGATCACCTCTTCTTATTCTTCATTATCCTTGGTTATCTCTCTGCTTTATCCTCGGCTGCAGCCAGCCAGGGCAACGCTATCTAAAATGCTAAAGATGTCACTTACATTGTCGCTTGGGCAAAGCTCACCAAGGTCTATACTTCTGACTTGCTGCCTAACTCTCCCGGGTCAACATCCGCGGTGCCACTCATACCTAATGTGTGAGGCTGTCTGGTTTTGCTTCTTGAAGTCGTGGGCGGTTTTTCCAATCTGTCGGAGCTCGGAAAGAACATACTGTCCAGACCCTCCCATTCTATCGCCAAGACTTCTACATACGAGTGTAGTGCTGCAGCAGGCCGAGATACAACTGACCTTTGACACGGGGACATAGATTATTACTTCTAGGGACAAATCCGTGTGTTTCTTTTGTAGAAGGACAAGCAGGGGCATGTTATCACTAGCAAGAATCATTTCATTTGCTGTTAGTCTGTCTGTCTGCATCTCAGCCTCTCGCTTAAAGCGGTTGTTTGTCGGTTACATGTTTGTAGGAGGGTTAGCTAGTTTGTCTGTGTATTCTTCTTTATGTCATGCGGAATAGTTGCTATAGGGGACCATGTGGGCATGATTATATCACAGTAATGATATAACTACACAAAGGAACCCCCACATAAGGGCGGACATCCCCGGAGACTCATACCAATTATGGTTAAAAGCCCTCTGAGAACACCTCATCACATTTATACCTTGACGAGGTAGCGATCTTCCTAGGGGACAAGTCTCAGGTGCAAGTAACCACATGCGGCATTATTCGCGCTCTCAAGCGTGAAGGGCGGTCAAAAAGGGCTGCCAGATATAACGCAAGAGATCAAAGTGCATATCTACGTGACCCGTACTCTTATTCACAGTCTTCAGTGAAGATGCCTTCATTAGTGAGTATAGGATAGTTAATCTTCGCTCCACTCTAGACTAGCTACAGATTTGTATTTGGTACATTCGCCCAATGCTGGACACCAAAGGTAACCCGAATACATCGCCCCATTGGTCTTGTTGGACGTATGGCTGCCTATTGGGGTAATAAGATAGTAGGAAGAAGAATTTACTGACATAGTCATGGGCAATAAAACCGTAATATTATCTCATTATCAATACTCTTAAAGGTAAAACAGGTCATTCATAGCCGCGCATAGACAACCCCATCGTGACGTGTTGAATACAACAGCCCTCAGAGCACAGCTAGTTGAATAGCTGTCCACACTATTACCCGGTAGTCCTCCTGCCTATTACAGCAGGAATTCATGTGGGATCTTCCTCTTCATAGAGCTAGCAGGCTTCGAATCAGCTGAGGCTTGAGATTGTTGGCTCCAAGGAACATACCTAGGAGCAAACAAGGTTACTGGCAGCTCGGTACCAGCGCGACAGGTCACTGGAGCCGTCGCGGGCTTGTTAGGGCACCAGGTCGAAGATCCACATCCATTCGGCGAAACCTGGACACATGCAGGGAAATCACCACCAATCGGATTGATGACATAGTTAAACGTGCCTTCATCGCCAGAAACATAGCTCACTTCTACCTGGTCGTTAAATTTGATGTCCGCGACTGGTACGCCTGGAACCGATTGCTGCTGCCCAGGTGCAATATAGTATTGGTATCCATATGGTTCTACATCCACATGGACACTGAATGGAGCGAAATTGTTGATGTGGGTGGTACCAGCATCGGCGGGATGCATTGGAGGAGAGATATATTGTCGCCAGTAGTAGTATGCTGGATTTCCCAGGGCAGGGGCGGCAAGGGCTGCCATTGAGAGCACTGAATACTTCATGTCGTCGATTCGTTTACGATAACTAATAGAGGCCAATCTTATGGGGCGAAGATGGTCCAGAAAAGTTTTACTTATCGCAATATCTCTATGAAACCTCCTCTATTTATGTCTTTGCATCTATGCGCGAAGCTTCCACGGATGGTCAATCATGACCTCAACGAAACACAGTCTTGATGTAATCTCTTACTCTTTTGCCTGTCGGTAACTTCCGTATCTGGAATACCTGTCAGTACTTTTATAGAAAAATTGAACCATAGAGTGACTTGACATGGTTGAGTGGTCGACAGAAATGCAACCGCAGTCCACGAAATAGCGTAGAATATATTGTGGTTCCACTAGAAGCGAAAACATATAATGAACTGAGTCTATCTCAGAGGTCAAGCTTGTCAAGTTCTATGGCTGACAGCACCTAATCTAATATAGACTTTCGAATCATTCTCTCGGAACACTCGGAAGAGGAGTCGATATACTGCAAACGGCTGCCGAGCATCTAACCTAAGCGTCATAGACGAGTAATAAAGAACGAGCCCAGATCTTATGGGGAGATCACTGCCGGTCATACGCCCTGCTGCTAAGTTGCAGTTGGAAGACTAGCTCCAATGATAAATAAAAAGTACCATTTTATATGGAATACCGAGGTGTCCGACCAGGCCGGGAATTACGTTAAGAGTTTGGGGAAACAATTCCGTAACCAGATGGGGTTAAGACAGCCTGGCACTAGGATTAGATCTGCTAGATGCGATTTGGAAAGGAGACTTAAAACAGTGACGATATTACGGAGCTGCTTTACCAGAATTCTATTTATGTATCTATAAGAATAAGCGCTGTTAAGTGGAGAAGGGGAGGGACTTAGGGTCCTGATATTCCCGACGGGGATTCGGCAAAGCGGTAAAAGGCAAGAAAATCCACCAAAACATAATAGAAATTGTGTATTTTGATAATGAGCTGTTTTTCTACTTTAATTTACTTACTGATGCTACTCTATCTTGATACTGGTCCTTCTATGATAATATAAGATTTTTATTACATGACTAGGTAGAACTGACCGAATTAGGCAGGTTTGGCTATAGGCACGGAATGGAACGCTGTGTGCAGATCGGCACCTTCGCCCTTAGACCGACCATGTGCAAGGGAGCCCAGAATCCAGGTGAGAGAAGCGTGCCATACATAAGAAACAAGAAGCTAGGCCGGTAACCCCGCGGCTAAAAGCATCAACATGGGTGTGATAGGCCAGGCTGAAGCGCCGGGTTCGCGTCAGCCTTGTGGAAGCCGTGTTGCTATGCCCCTCTATGTGGCCTCCGCCATGGGGTTGAAGATTGTAGTTGACAGACTGCTCTCTCAAGGTGCAGATCCAATAGCACGTGTTAGATCAGCAGGCCCTGGATGGCCTCATACGCCCCTAGAAATATCTGCCGCGAACAGCCATCTGGCTGTGTTGAAGCGGCTGTTGGAAGGGGTGAGCATCTCAGTCGAGATAGCTTCCGCCATCGTAGAGTGGATCAACGACACGAAAGCTCCCCGAGAAGTGTTTGAGGCTATTTGGGAAATGCTTTTCAGCGCAAAGGTGCTCTACAATGAGTCCGAACCCAATCTTCCTGTTCTAGACGAAAGGCTTGTTGCGGCGGCGGCAGGTAACAGAAAGTCAGGTCCAAAGATCATGAGCCTTCTCTTGGAACGGCAAAAAGAATGTACGATTCCCATCACAGAAAATGTTATTCACGCACTGATGCAAAACTATGAATATGGCGATGAGATTTTGCGGATGATTTATGATCGGAAAGGGAAAGACCTCGACATAACAGAAACTTGATGACCAACTTAGCTCTACAGGCCACACCACGTCCTGGCCTCGTGGCTCTCATTCTTCAAATCCAGAGTCGAGGATCAATCTCAACGAATCCAACATGATGTTCTGGGTAAAGCACGCCTCGCTAGAGGCGATCAAGCTACTTCTACAGGCCCGGGGCGATGAGATTGCAATCACGGAGGAGTTATTGGCAGCTGCCGGCAGGTTTAATGAAGATGCGGCCGTGTTTGAATTTCTCTGGGAAGGAAGAATGTCTGGTATTGATATTACACAGAATATCCTACAGAATGTTGTGAAGGGATACTGCGGTTTAAGATGCCTGGTATTCTTACTTGACCAATGTGGTCATGGATATGTCCTTGAAATTGATGTCATTCGGCGAGTGGCAGCCAATGAATATTGTGGACTCGATATGATGAGGCTGCTTCTACACTGGCGACAAGGACAGTTGGTTGGTTTTGATATCACAGAGGGGGTTTTGGCCGCAGCTGCTTCCAACGCCGAATGCGCACGAGACATGATGGAATTGATCATGAAGAACGACAACACGGAACACCCCATAACGGAATCCATATTATGCGCAGCAGTGTGTAACAGAACACGCGGAGACTCAGCCATGCGGTATTTACTCGACTTAAATCCAGACACTCCCGTCACAGAGATGGTTCTGGTATCAGCAGCAAGAAATCACCTATGTGGCCATTCGGTTATCCGATATTTATTTGAACACAAGGAAGGCCTTCAGGTTACAGAAAATATTCTTGCATCAGCAGCAGCAAAAGTTGGCCAACGAGAGATTGTGTTGGAATTTCTTCTTGGGCAATACGAAGGCATACCGATGGCTGATCATATATGGGTTGCTGCGAGTTCTAATTATAATGCCATTGCACTTCTGTTGAAAGAGCGCCGTGATCTTTCTCAGTTGGCGAGGCTTATAAACGAGGAAAAGAATGTGAGATTTCGTGAGGCATTCGACAGAATCCTTGATCTGGAAATGGTTCATATAGATGAAGGTCTTTTGGACGCATTGATTTGCACCGATCGTGGGCATCGTTTACTTAGGCAAAAGCGGCAAGAGTCAGAGAAAAGGCCTTGATGTTGAGAAGTGAAAAGCGACGTGATGAAGCATCTCCTGGATGCACGGAAGCATAATATGACCATCGCAGAGTTCATGATGTCTGTCTTGGAGACACCTAGTGGATCTTGAGGATCTTCTTCTCCACCAATTAACATGACAATCATCTATTGAAGCAAAAGGTGTATACTCAATCCTCCTCCAAAAGATCCGAAGGAAAAGTATACGACAGCCAACCATTGTTATTACATGTGTACTGTCAAAGATTAACTGGCCATTCACCCTAGATGCCATATTCTATATTCAGATCCCTGTATAAAAGATTCTAGGCGTATATATATTTTACCTGATCCTCTATAAACTGTAAAACCAGCGTAAAGACGAGATTGTTAAATTAATATCTTATTCTTAAGGACAGATCAATATTGCATATTGGGTAATTCTGTAGATATAAAGATTCCTGTCAGCCAGGCGTACGTAAGTGAAGGTTCATGCAGGAAGTATAAAATATGCCAATTACGACCACTGTTTGAATAGTATTTCTACCAAAGATATGACAGGGCTTACTTAGGCTGCGCCAAGGCGTTCGAAGGTAATATTTACTATCCAGGGATACGGCTTGATCCTGTAGAGGATGACAAAGACAAACACGGCCTCGCCAGCGGATAAATAGACGTGTCCCCCGCGGTATTCTGGAGCCTCTTGCAGTTCAGGTTTGATTCAAGGAGGATACGACTACCTTTCCAGTCATGGACTCGCCCAAAGGCTCATTCCTTTCGTCTATTCGCCTCAGCCTGGTCATGGTGGCGCTATGCCTTGCTGTATTCCTGACCGGGATGGTAAGCCGCCCAACTGCCTGGAATAGGCTGACATTGCTGAAGTTGACATGATTCCTTGAAGGATCAAACGATCCTCGCGACAGTGACCCCATCGCTGACAGCCGAGTTCCACAGCATTGACGATATGGGGTGGTGGACCGCCGCTTACCTGACTATGCTCAGCGTATTCCAGATTCCATATGGCAAGCTCTACAGTCTATTTTCAATCAAGATCGTCTATCTATCCGCAATCGGCATTTTTGAATTAGGCTCTCTTGTCTGTGCCACCGCGCCCAACTCCATTGCTATGATTTTCGGTCGCGCGATTGCGGGGGCTGGGGCGGCAGGTATTTTCACCGGGGGGATTATGATCACCACAAAGATCATCCCGCTCGATCGCCGTGCGTCCTACCTTGGTATTATGTCGGCTGCCTTTGGCGTTGCTGCTATTGTGGGACCGTTCATCGGGGGCGCGTTTACAGACCGATCTACATGGCGATGGTGCTTCTACATCAACCTACCATTGGGCGGGTTGAGTATATTGGTATGCTTTTTGCTCGTGAATACACCGGTGGACTCCTCAGTTGTATCACTGTCATTGTGGGCTCGAGTCCGCCAGTTTGATTTCTTTGGGATGGTTAGCTTGATGGGTGGTATTGTTTGCCTGCTCCTGGCGCTCCAGTGGGGCGGCACCCAATACCCCTGGAATAGTGGAAGGATCATTGCATTGCTGGTGGTGGCAGTACTTCTTATGCTGTCTTTTGTTCTCCTTCAGATCTTCGTCCCCGGGTCGAAAACTATCCCCCGCAGCGTGTCCAGACATGCGTCAGTTTGGCATGCCGTAGGGTACGCAATGTGTATCACGGGAGGAATCTACGTTGCCATAGTTTACATTCCAGTGTGGGTGCAGGCGGTACAACACAAATCAGCTCTGGACTCCGGGATTATGCTGACTCCATTGATTGTGGGATACGTTGTATTCTCTGTGGTCGCTGGAGTTCTTACTTCCGGGCTGGGCTATTACAATCCACCAATGATCCTGGGAACCATCCTGGCAAGTGTTGGTGCCGGCCTACTATCGACCTTGTCGACGGGGACCTCTAACGGGCGCTTGATTGGGTTCCAGGCATTGTACGGCATTGGTGTTGGACTAGGGTTTGGTCAGCCAAGTTACGTCGTGCAAACCGTGTTGTCCGAGGCGGATATCCCGATTGGGGTAACGTTGGTCACCCTTGTCCAGCACTTGAGCTCGGCTATCTTTGTCGCCGTAGGTCAGGGCGTCTTCCAGAACACCCTTGCACATACCGTGCGGTCACTGGCGCCAGGTGTTGACCCTTCGAGGCTAACAAAGCTCGGCGCGACGCAACTGAGTCAGTTTGTCGACAAGCAAGACATGCCATACGTCTTGGAGGCGTACAGTACCGCAATTGCGAGGACTCTCTACATCCCAATGGCCCTCAGCTGTGCGTCCGTGCTCGGGGCCTGTCTGACACCATGGATCTCCATGAAAAAAGCCAAGCCACTGCCAACAGACCAACAGCCGACAGGAGACGAGCCGATAAGTGGTGGGACGCAGGAAAAAGACCGTGGCACATCAGGGGCTCACGAGGCCTAGATTTGCTCTCTCTGCCGATCACTTCTTTGTTGTAGAATTAAACTAAATTTCATTTCTTTATTCCTAGAGCTTGATGTGTCTTGGCCTTCCTTCCCATGGGAGCAGCGTCTCACCATCCCTATATTCGCCCCCTGCCGGCCTCCACATAATCCACACGGGATGCGCCTGGATCTCGTGAATTAATCTCCTCCCTTGCGCACTCCGCCCTTGATCCTCGGAAAAACTCATGTGTGGTCGCGCGATAGCCACGAACCCATACTTCTGGTACAGAGCGACCGCCATCTCCGTCGCCTCAAGGTAACCTTCCATCCCCAACGCATCCATATGGCGGACAAACTCGTCCATAATAAGCTCCGTCGCGCCCAGTGAGCGATACTCGGGCAGTGCCCAGAGCGCATTCCCGCCTGTGCGCACGTCAATTAACAACGAACTAAATAAAAATGTACATAACACCGGGGGGGAGGGGGAACAGAGGAAACATACAAACATGTCTATCCCCCATCATCCTCCCCCTCCATGCCCACAACTGCGCATAAAACGCCTCAGCCAACAACCTCATCTCACTCCCCTCCGGAAACCATGTCGCCTCGATCCTCGGTGCCCCCGCGCGGTATGGATTACGGTGATGGACGTGGTACATTCCTCCCGCGACAATCCGGCCCGATTTGGTATCGTAGCATTTCAACCAGATGATGTTGGGGTCGGATTCTGCGGCTTGACGTAAGGACCGTTTCACGTCGGCAAGGGCTGTTGCTTCGCCCCGGTTGCCTTCCCCCAGGTGGGCGAAGGTTAGTTCCCCGACGGCTTGGAGCGGAGAGCTCCACGCAGTCCAGTAGGTGGTTATAAGCTCGTCCCAGTCCTTGGTGAGATCTGCGCGTGAGACAACGAGGGGCATGTTGGTTTGGGTGTGTCTCTTATGAATTGTATCCTGTTGGTCATAGACTCGTATCCTTCGGATGAAATGACAGTTGTGGCTATGGTCAAAGAACGATGCGTCTCACATTTCTAACAACTAATCCGGGATATGAGCAAAGATATACGAGGTATCTAAACCAAGACGTAAAACAAGTATGGCAAGTATAGAGAGAAAAAAAACCATTTCCCAAAGTCGCCTAGCCGTGGACGGTCATTTAAACCATCGTTCTCGGCTCCTGGATAACCACCGAGCTTGACTTATTTGCATCCACCGACGTCGTCCCAGTCCCACCATCGGATGTCTGGTCGCCTGAAGATCCAAGCCTTCGACTCCATCGACCCGAAAAGCCTTTCCGTCCTTCACGTAGAAGCCAGCCGCGTGCGGAGTATACCACTGGACGGAGAGTGGGTAAGCACGCGGCGATCAAACCCAGACTGGCCTCCAACATGCTCCACCAGAGCATTGTGGTCACGGTTTCTAGCACATTAGATACGTCCTCAAGAAGGTAAGGGGCAACTCACGGTCAGGGTCGTATCCAGCCTCATACCCGACCTCAAAGACAATCAGGTAAACAGCCAGTCTCACGACAGAGGCTGACAGCGCCCTGATGGGAAACTGGGTCAGCGGTGGGCTACGTACACTCTCGACTCGAAAAGGGAACCCTTACATCAACCCCACTCCGAAAATACAGCTGAGCGCAATCTTCCGTCTCACAGACATTTGGAGCGTCCATATCTGCATGCCATCGTAAGTACAACTGACATCATCCCCGATGGTCGACTCATACCTTGGGAAAGGGCAGGAGCAGGATCGCCAAATCAGTGATGAGGTCCGAGATGACCAGGCTGACTCGGCGGCAAGGGGGTCCCCACAGTGCTCCCTTACTTCCTGGATAGGCGCCCAATGGAGGTAGACTTTCGTCTTGCAACCGAATAAAAACAGGAGGAAGAATGCCAAGGCCCACACCACCGTTAAGGCGAGGCAGATGTTGGAGATGACGGCGAATCGGGATTTCTTGTTCGAGACAAAGATACGGCGGTAAAAGAGGACGATGCTCGCTTTGATGAAGCCGTACGCTGCGATCATGAAGAGTTGGAAGTAAAATTCAATCTTAGCTTCGATTTCGTAGGCGCGGTTGTACTTCGCTAATGCCTTTTTGGGATCGTCACTTATGGGGTAGGGTGTAGGGTATCCCATTACGTGGACGGAGTAGCCTTACAGATGTTAATGGGCAATTTCCACATTGGGTGTGAGGCACGAGTACTAACCATAGATGAAGCATATACCCATTCCGGTTACCATAATCTGAGTCATTGAAGCCGTGTCAGCAGACATCCCTTGGTATGCCTTATCTGCATCATAAGAGAGGGGAAGATACCGCTGCAGGCACGAGTAACCAGTCGTCCAGACCCAGGCGAACCTTTTGTCTGGCTCGAGCAAAGAAACGAAGCATGACACAGGCGAGGCAAGCGATGGGGAGGGCAATGCCTGCTGCCAGCACTTCGCCGGCTGAAGTGAGCCGGAACGGGAGGTGTGTCCAATGTGGACTAGATGCCATGGTGGGCCTCTTGGGGTGGATCGGGTGGACCTTGAGGTATCTGCAGGGTTGTGAGTTGTAAAGCTTTTCATGAAGACACATGCTGCCTTCTTCGAAGCGCTTATATGTTCCCTCCCCTCTCGTGTGGAGGTCTGGAATATTTCCATAAGCAAGGACAAGGCTGACATGGTGTATGACTACGGAGTGTACATCGCAATTGGACTGTTGCTTTGACTTTGGTGTCCAGAATGTCCAGTCAGCCTCGTGTGATTGTAGAGCGCCTGCATAACTGAAGATTGAGCCATGAGGCGGGGTTCGGAGTGGGCCTGACTATGCAAAATGAGGCCTACGTTCTCATCCGTTTTGATTGTCCTGTCAGTCCTTGTTATTTTTGTCTCAATAGCTTGCTCTTTATGACGGGCGAGCACTGCCTTTCAGCCCTGCCTGCCACCTAACCAAGTCTTGCAATACCATACAGGAGCAACGAAAAATGGGACAGGTAGACGATGAGGACTATGAACTTCTTCCTCCGGAACATGGTGTTCAGAAGGCGTGGGAAGCACGAGGACGAACAGGGCTTTTCGCACGGTTGGAAACCCAGGTTCTCCTTGGACTGCTCCTTCTTTCTGTACTATTCAACGTTATGTTTGTTCTTAGTTGGACATCAAGTAGAGATGAACTATCTGCCTCCAAGCAGCCCGTCTGGGCCAGTTCTAGTTATCGAAGGGAAGAGGTGAAAACCGGATTCACGAAGGAAGACACAATGTGGTGGAATACCAAGTACAGCGGGACAAATGAGAGCGAAGTGAGTGACCTCTGGCATAATGGCATTCCCTGGGAAAGCGGGATCATCGCAATCAACAAGCAAGAGGCAAATGAGTTGGGGTTGCCCGAGTCGCAGTCTTTCCCGTGGGACGTAACGAAAGGGATCTATATCCTTAATGTGCATCATATCCTCCATTGCATTGTAAGTCGTCCAGCATTCTTAATCCAATCGCACTTGTTGAGACACTTTAGCGGAATCTATACATCTCCATCGAGGAATACCGTGACAACCGTCCTCAGAGTGTTACCTATCCTCATATCTTGCATTGTCTAGACAGTATCCGGGTGGAGACCATGTGCGCGGGCGATGACACCCTACGATACATTCCTTTGAATGATGTCTCCGGATTCAAGCCTGGAGATGGACAGAAGCGCATGTGCCGTGACTGGCGTCAGATGCAGTCCTTCGTGGAGAAGCATGACCCATGCTATCGGTATGTTTTTCCCGGGGATGACACTGTGTCTAATTTGGAACGATTTAAATATTGCCCTAATGATTCTCCTTATCTGCCCAAGATTCGAGAGTACTTTGGGTATGGGGAAGAATGGCTACCATTTCCATAGAAGACATTGTGTATAGATTAAATTGGGCATAGCTTCGCTTTAAAGTTCACATTCCATAAATCATGATGATATCCGTAACCATATCCAAACTTCAAATATCAAATTTTCTCCCCGCCGTATTCTATTCCATCCTCTTCTTGACTACTCAATATCACAGGCAGCAGTTCTTGGGTTCGATGACGGCCATGTCGGGGTTTGCATTGGGCTCGGCCTCGGGGGCTGGAATTGGGCTGGCCATTGCGGCGGCTACAATCAAGTAGAGCACGCAGCGAAGGAAGTACATGTTTGTGGTTTCTTTTCGTTCTGTGGGTGACTGGACGTCAGTAGACTGTTCCTCAGTGTGACACTCGTTGAAAGGAGCCACTAAACCTGATAGACTTAATTTTAAAATCGTTGGTATGCTTTTAGCAGTTTTCTGCTTTGGATAATCCTGTCTATGTCTCCAGATAGACTCCATATATATAGAAATCACCACTACGTTCGTTCTTATCAACTTCATGACTCGTTCTCCTGTCAGATGATCATTCCTTCAGCAAGGATGGAGAGCTACTGCTGCTGCCTTCCTCGTGTCTTTGACTTTTATTTTATTTTTAATCATATTATTTACTTGCTCCTCCTCTCTTCCCCAGCCAACGAGGCGTTGGTTGCATTTCTATTTTTATTGGACTCCCATTCCTGGGTTGTTGCAGGAGGTCAGAACTAGGGCACACGCCGTTTCTTTGTTCGTATTTTGGGGGGCTTTTCTGTATCGAATCCCTGTTGTCTTGTAAACTATGGTTCCACAGCCAGTCAAGAGATCATCGTCGTGCAGGCGGCGGGTAAAACACATTTATTATCATGGTTCCCCTCCTTGGAAATTACGTGTAACGGGTATCGTTGCCTAAATGCCTCACTGGGCATACATAACAGAGAGCTGCAGCTCTTCCTCCTCCTCCTCATCCCACGTCTTACCTTTAATTCACCACGTCAACAAGCACCCCAGAAAACATATCCAATCCCTCTCGATATCTCCATACTATGGACTCAGTCGTAGATGTCCTGATTGCCGGCGGTGGTCCAGCCGGTCTCACCGCAGCCCTCACGCTGGCCCGCCAACTCCATACAGCCGTCCTATTCGACAACAAATGTTATCGCAATGCGAACGTCTCCCACATGCACATGGTCCCAACCTGGGACCATAGAAACCCAGCTGAATTCCGCGCTGAAGCTCGCAATGAAGTTCTGAACCACTATGACACGATCAAGATCGAGGACGTGGACCTCAAAACAGTGGAGAAGACAAGCGACGGGCTTTTCCAACTTGTCGATGCCAACGACAAGGTGTGGAAAGGAAGAAAGCTGATCATTACCACCGGCTCAGAGAATGTCTTCCCCGACATTCCCGGATACGCAGAAGCGTGGGGTCAGAGAATGTATGCATCTCTTCATGATGAACCTACTATTCCTGGAAAGATCGTTGAATCTAGCTAACACCGTCCAGTTACCACTGCCTCTTCTGCAAAGGGTACGAAGACCGTAACACGAACAGTGCCGGCGTCCTCGCCATCCAATCCGCCGGTAATGTACCCATGGCAATGCATCAGACTGAATCGGCCGCTCAGCTCGCGCGAAAGGTGACTATCTACACCCATGGAGCGGAGGAACTCGGGGCTCAGATTCTATCGACCCTGACCGACAAGGATAAGACCCGCATCACTGTCAACAACACCCCGATCAAGAAGCTCACTCATACCAGCTCCTCTATTCACCTAGAGCTCGCGGATGGCACGTCTCAGGAAGAGACCTTCCTGGTCCATAGCCCCAGTACCACTGTCAAGGGCCCGCTTGCCAGTCAGCTTAGCCTGGAACTTACCCCTATGGGTGACATCAATGCGGCACCACCTATGCATCAGACCAGCGTGCGTGGGGTCTTCGCGGCCGGGGACTGCATCACTCCGTATAAAGTTATCGCGGGCGCGATTTCGAGTGGTTGTAATGCGGCGGTAGCTGCTTCGGCACAGCTATTGGCGGAGAAGCATGGCCATCAGCCACTGTTTTAGTTGCCTTGCAATGAGTCCTGAGGAATGGTATTCGTTGCGAACACTACCCATTCTGATGAACCCCATTGCCAGTTAAGCCGTTTGTTTTAGTCACGTGTTAGCATATCCTTCTAATTCATGCCTCTGTCGCATCATCATCAAGATACTAATGTGTCTGTTCATCGCTGGCGACGAACAGGGTGAGCGGCTAGCGATTGGCCGAATAGTATGTGACTAGAATGACGTTAAAGTGGACAATGTTAGTTCTTCAATCAAATGAGAGGCCTACAATTAACAAACACTATGAAAGCAATGAGGTTGAGACATGGTGGAGTTAAAGTAGTTGTAACTTACAGTAAGAGTCTGCAGGAGTATTCGTTATGTGGTGGAACCCGTTGCTTAGGTGGATGTTGGATGTTGTGTCCTTGATGTGAAAGGGAAATAAATATATAACTACCTCAGGTCTAATTGACTCCCTGTCTAGTATTCCGACACAACCCCCAATCCAAGTTAGTGACGATATCTCCATCTACTTTTATAATATAAGAATTAATTTACCTGTATCACGAGTTATTTTTGTATAGCCCCGAAACAAAATCGAGATTGATAGGTACTGCTATTGAACAAGGTAACTCGAGTCTTGCGCTTGTCGGCCCACGTCGTTCGTTCTTGAGGAACGTGTATTTTGGCTTATATATGCATTAAAATAAAATGACTTTCAACAAGGCCGGCTGGCCCAATGGCAAGGCGCTTGACTACGAATCAAGAGATTGCAGGTTCGATCCCTGCGTCGGTCATCTCTTTTTGATTTTTTTTGCCTCGCCAGCAAAAGACGCGTTGCTGGATGGATCCACTACCCGAACCATGCCCTGAGTAAGGCAATGGAGGTCAACAGCTACTGATCCGTCTCCTTTTACCCTTTTCCTTTATTTTCTTTTTTCTTGCCGTCATTGTGCTAAAGGTCGCATGCGCCATATGTGTGCTGACCTTTCAGCTTTGTCAAGGACACGGAGAATGCAAGTGTCCTGCCACAGTTCCAGGTAAGGTTTATACAGAGACCAGGGCCCAACTGTAGAGATGCATAACGTTGATGGCTACACCGATGACGTTGGACTTTTCACAAAGCAAGGCCCTAGTCACCCTATTGTTTGAACCCAAAACGAAGAGAGGAGGGAATAGCATTCTTGCGGCTACATAGTATTAGCCAAGGTTAACAGGGTATAGAATTTCCACAACATCATAGACAAGGCAGCATTACTAGAAGCATGATTCTTTGTCTATAAGGACTATTTTGCGCCCAAAATATCACTGGCCTTGCCATAGCGCATTTAATTAGACGTTCTCTGGCCAAGAGAAGCGGAGGCCCAACGCTGGGGTCGTTTTGGGCATTATGGCTTTGACGCCGGAGTTTTTGGAGCTGTTGCCCTGATCCGCCTATAGTAGCGATGGAAGATACATTAACAGTAGAGGCCCGTTACATCAATAGAAGGTATTCGCAGCGGATTCACAATGCTGTTGGCTGCTTTGTACGTTTAACGGTAGGGTATGCTTTGGACGAACAGTGGCGTGGCGTACAATGCTGTGGATTTTGACCCATGCATATGGACCTTGTCACTGTCTGGAAAGGGCAAGAAGGGCAAGACGAGCCAAGGATTGCGACGACGAAAAATGGAAAAAGCAAGAATACAGCTACTTGGCAATGCAATTGGCTATGTTCGGATAGAAGGCTGAACCGATCAGTTATCCAGGTGGAACAAACCTATACGAGACAGCAAATCATACACGAAGGGAACTAGCGCCAGTGAATGACACAATACCGAATACAGCTTCAACAGAAATGCGTAGGAATCCAATGGACACGGTATTACACCATGTTCACAACGGACGAAGCATATGACAAGATCGTCTTGCCAAGCTCTTCGGGTTTCCTCAGACTGGTGAAAGTGACAGAGACAGAACGGCTAGATCTTTGCGCAATGGCCGAGAATGTGTTATAGAGATAATCCCTGACATCATCAACGGACTGGGGTTCTCCACTAAACGTCCCCCACTGGTCAAAGATGGTGCTGTCGAAAGGTACCGTCCTCAGCTTGCGTTCAAGCTTATCCATTTTATGAATAAACAGAACTATCTCTGTATGGCTGAGCTTTGCAGCTGAGCAGATGCTGTCGAACAACGTCAACTCTTCTGCCAGACGATTTGCGCAATTCTCTTCCGTCAACACCTGGTCGTACGATCCTGCATCTACAAAATACAGAACCTTTGTTGCTCCATCAAATATGCGGCTCCATTTCTTTCTTTCACCGCGACTCCCCGAGGCATCACAGAAAATCACCTCCGATGGCCCGTTGGTATACCGTGCCAAGGTGATACCTGTGGATCTCGTGTAGCACCATAGTGTGTCCTCTAAGGTGGGCATGTAATCTGGTTCTGTGATGCGTTCGAGTGAGTTTAACAGGCTGCTTGATCAGTTGGCTTAGTCTTATGCTGTTGGAGATTGAGAGATCGAAGAACGTACTATTCAGCCCCATCATCAATAGTCTCAAGTATCACTTCATCTAGGAAGCCACATCGCTGTATATACCCCCATATGCCTTTCATCTCCCTATTTATTTCAGCCATTCTGGTTTGTCGCCACGGCATATACATCTCATGTAACGTTTCTAGTAGCTGAGTGACGGAGTCGGAGGCACTGCGCATCGCTGCGTATTCCTGATATGCACTATCTCCGGTAGAGAAAAGTGGTTCTCCTACTTCTAGGAGCTGGCGCAATTGATTGTTGAGTGACTCTAGGATAGTAAGTCTAGACTGAAAGAGCTGCGACATGTCTGAGGGACACCCAACGAGGAGATTCAGCACGTTCAATGCCGTAGACTTGCCGCTTTTGGAAGAGCCGAGCAGCAGTACTCTTTGAGAGACAGGTTCCACGCGAGCGGTTTCCATAATACTATCTGCAGAAGAAGGATAGGGTGATGCCTCTCCGCCCCACAGGTTCCACAGACCTATTGATGAGAGCCACTGGCTACTTTTCTTCGCTTGTCTCACACTAATGAGACTCGTAGCCCGGCTGCGTTGCTTAGAAGGAAGCATGATTGAGACTAAGCTGGGAGCAGTACGCGGCCGGCTTAGGCCTTCTCTCAGGCTCCATGCTCGCCCTGCATTGGTGCTGCGGCTGGGGTGTCTCTGATTCGGATTAGATTCCGTAGGTCTCCAAACTATGCTAGCTTCTTCATCGCTCATAATGGAAAATGCCCTCTCCGTAGCATTATCGTCAGGGACTATACTCGCCTCCTTATACAAAGGCTTTACGACGGTCCCTTTGAGCGCATGGACCATGCTCGATCTGGCTGCGGAGCAATAAACCCTCGAACTGAATAGGTCTGAGTCGAAGGCGAATCTCGTTTCTATTAAGCTCAAGTCTTCTGCAACGGTGCTTTTCTTGGTCATCTCTGAGTCCGAGTCTCTTAGCCAAAGTAAAGAGGAGGTATCATCTTTAATCCGATTGAACACAACCCGGCTCTCAGATCTCTGCAGAAAAAGACTCTGTTCGATGATAGACTTGCTAAACAGGGATCAGCGATATAACCATATTATTTCACGGTCGCAACCTACCACTGAAGCGCGGTTAAGAGCAGATTCAACGCATTGACCTGGTTGTTCAACAGGGACTGGAAATCAGTCGTTTCTTTCTCGTGCCACAAAATGCCGGTTTTATCCCGCATCGTGAGATGATCCTCCTGCATCCGAGACAGTCGCTGGTCCAGAAGCGACATGATCGCCTCACAGCAACTTAGTGACGTTGTGATGTCGGCCGAAATCTGTGAATCTTCTCCAATGGGGCTCCCTGGACCGAGAAGATCGAGCACATGTTTGATCTGGCCAAGGGCGGCATTCAGAGTCGATAACTGCCCAATAAGGATTCTTGCTCTGAGACCGATGCTCGTATAGCGGCCTTGCAAGTCAGTTAACGTCTTGATGCTTCGAGTCGCCAGATCGATAATCCCCAGTATCGAGCCGACTGCACCAACTATAGATAACGGGTCCATTTTCAGGGAATTAGATAGCGTGAACTGCTGCAATAATCTCCTACCTTTCACATATCCAGAGTTCATGTTGAAGGCGGCATCGAGGGGTGGTTAACCGTGGTGGGGATGATCAGCCTTGCCAGCTGGCAGACAGAAAACGAGGCTGTGCTGATCTCAGCCTCGCTCAGACTCGCTTGTCACAAAAAGCAAAGAAAGGTCCTTGGACAGCTGGCGCAATACGGTCATGCTCATACTGCTAGATTTTCTAGTGAACCTATCATCGAGGTAGATTTGACTATCTATCTACCTTCCTGCAAGAACTTTCCAGCAATGACTCGATTCAGTTGCTCCCTGGAACGGATCATGTTGTAAAGCTAAGGTGGAGGCTCGGTAGGGCTTATCGAGAGGCAGACTACGGGTGAGGTTATATACTGGTAGATTGACAAGACTTGCCTCCAAGTGAAGATATACATCTGGATGATAGTAAAGCAGAATGGGTGGAATCGGCTATGCTTTAGGACGATCGGAATGACGCCAGAGAGATCGTACAGGTAAGTAAAAGGAAATGAAAGGTCGATGGAAAGAGAGGAGTAACGACTAAACGGAAATGATAAAGAAGAAGAAGAAGAAGAGGAGGAGGAGAGGGTAATAAGAAGAGAAAAGAATGAAATGATAGAGAACGAGAAAAAGAAAGGACAAGGAGAGAAGGACAATAAAAAATGAACTCTGGGATTCCATCCTGTCAAGAGGAGCAATGCCAGAAGGAAAACCCCACGCAGAGTCAGTACTTCGTCTGGACCGGAGGTTGTTAACCCAACCTTGTCTCTCATGTAGTCCGCCTTCTCATCGGGGGACCATGGTACATGCCCTTCCCATCAGACATAGGACGACAAAGTGCGTTACCTTTAGATACATGGCAGGTAAATGGTCGCGACGCAACAAGCTTCACTAAGGATGGATATATAGAAACTAGTACTTCAGCATTACTGCCCTGGTTAAGCGACCACTCGGCCCGCTGAGGCTCGTGAAGCTCCATAGTCTCAGGATCATAGCGGCCCTTTAATCGTACAAAGTGGTAGATACTTTGTTGTTCCTGCAGAAAGCCGGCTAAATCGATCCCACTGTCAATGAGGCCATCGAGAACACTTCCCATCTCAGATGAACTATCGCGGATCATGAAAAGCTGACATAGCTCACGCAAGATTCTTTGTTTCGTAAGATCCCTACCTTGAGGGGCAGACTGGGAACGCGCGATGTAAAGAACGGTCCTGAGTCGCCATTCCTCTGCATCCTTCAACCGAGCCCCGGAATCTAACGTTGATATCTCTGGTTACATTTCGCGCATAAATCCAGTCAAGCTTGTCATACCTTGGTCAGATATATGGTCCACTTTGATGCTCGAGAGCAACCATTGGAATATGCTTTGGAAGGCCGCATTCTTATCTGGAGAAATGCTGGCTGAGATATTCCGTGGTGAAAAGGCCCATCTCTCGAAAGCAAGAAATACGATCATGGCCACACTTGATCGGTACAGCGCTTTGCTATATGACGAGGATCTTATGAGACTCAAAAGCTTGCTCAATTGAAGTGCACTACTTTCGTCCTGATGCATCTCGTGCTCCCATTCCCTCATGGTGGAGATAGCGTGGCTAAGAGTCCCACAATTATATCTCATGATATCACATATTCTCCAAGCGGCCTGCTGTACACCGTATATGAATCGTTGGTATTCCCTATCTATGATGGTATCGGGGTACTGACGATCCGCGTAAGGGTCCATCTGTAGGCGGAAGAGTAAGATCTCCTGTCGCCGGATCTTGGTTTGGGCCTCAAGAAGCTCTCTTCGGAGCAGTGCCGATTCTTCTTCCTCCCATTGTTGCTGTTCATGAGTGAGACGCCGACCGGAGGGAAGTTCGTTAACAGCAAAGCTTTCTCTTCGTCGCCGGATTGTACTTCTCGGACTACAGGAGCGCGAGTCACTGTGTTCATTGTTGGAAGAGATTGCGCCTCCACTTAGGTGCGAACATTGGCTTGGAGGGAAGGTGATTGCCCTTACCACCGTATCGCTGCTGTTGTCTGTTGTAGAGCGTCTCCAATGGTTCTTCGCAGCGTGCTCTTGCTTAGAATGGGAGCGATGAGGATGAACCCCGAAGAAAGACAGCGTGGAATTCATCACTGAGACGAACGCTCTGTAGGCGTTGGGTAGACATATGGCCAAGTGGTAGACGCAGAAGCGGTTGACCGGTTCAACATATGTGAATGAGATCAGATGAACAGGGTTCAGGGGTACGTGACACAAAGCCTTGCAAATTAACTTATTATGTAGGTGGCTTTATGCGATTGGTCAGCTTAGTCGCTCCGAACGTCCGATCACAATCTAGGCCACTTGAGGCGTTTGAAAGGCGTTTCATACTGCATAACATCCTGCATCCGTAGGGTTGTCTGGTTTGTTCGAAGGCATACATGATCTTATAATGTTTGATCCATGAGCTTCCTCGCCACCACCAATAATGTGGTCACGCTGGTAAATGCCTCCGTCAGTGTACAGATAGGATTTACAGGAGCATTCAATACTCCCAGAGGGCTATCTGTACTTGTTGAGCTGGCAGCTGCCGGTGCTCCGGCTACACGTAAGTCAAGTTATGCTCGCCTATGAAGAGAGACGAAGCAGGGCTCCCCCTGGATCTTTCTGCATAAAGGCAAGCCACACGGCAGGTTTTCAAGGAGCGGTCAGCTGAGGCCAGCTCCAACTTTCGGAGTTGTTCGTGTCGTAAGATAGGCTGAGCCGATTGGCGTTCGCTTGGATTGCTGTCACATTTATCCCTGCCATCGGATGTTGCAATCCCTCCTATTTGCCAATATAAATAGTAGGAAAGCGAGGTTAGCGACACGAAGTCTGTATCACGATGAATATGTAAATGCCCGAGGAGTAATACACAGCAAGTCCAACGTATCTATCATGCAAGATACTATTTGCCAGAGGGAAAATATTACAGGGAATGTGTATTCCATAGCCAGCGCCAATTGCGGGCTGACGGCCGCGGAGCCTCATGTAGTCATGCCCTTTTAAGTCAGGCAAACTATCGTAAGACGCCTATCCACTTATGATACGGCAATAGCCCAGTCTCGTGGTAATTCTTACTTGTATATCCTACACTGACTTAGCCTGCTGAAGTACCGAACTCTCTTCCACCAGGTGCGGTAGGTAGAAAATGGCGGGAAAGAACAACAACAACAACACCCTTATCGTGAGCATATCCAGATTGGCTATCACAACACCCTCAGATCTTTTGATAAAAGACATCAGCTAACCTATCGACACTTTACAGCTTGCCATAGACTTTGGAACGACATACTCAGGAATTGGGTACATACATACGGCGGCGGGGCGTGTACCTAGTAGACAGGCAAGTATAAGAACTCGGGCGAAGGTATCTCACTAATGTTAATAATAGGATCTTGTAACCCACTGGCCGCTGAGAAATGCGACAAGCGAAAAGGCACCAACGTCAGTAACCGACTAAATCCACTATGGATACAGAGTATATCTGAAGGCTTTCTTTAGCGAAATACTTTACGATGACAATAAAGACAAGATCGAATGGGGATTTCAGGCCCAGGGCAATATTAGGGCCTTGAAATATTTTAAATTGTAAGTATAAATCGGCTTCATATTCACCAGCATACTGACATAACTTTTGCTATAAAGGGAGCTGGATCCAGAAGCCAGAAAAAAGCTCAAGGCACTCCGATCCGACACTGAATCATCTCGACCCTTCGTCGGGAATCACGGAGCTACGAGTGCAGTTGTTGAAGAATATCAAGCAAATCGAGATGCCAAGGATGTTTGCACAGATTACCTCAAGGCTATCTACCGGGCTGCCCTAGAGCAGATCAACAACCTATGGGTTCCAGGTAAGTCCACTAATAATCTAAGTCGTTTGGGATCAGCTTAGACCTTCAGTAGACACCGTCAGAAATGCCCCTAAAAGGTTCATTTTGACTGTCCCGGCTATCTGGACAGATCCAGCGAAGAATGCCACCAAGCAGTGTGCTAGGAGAGCATTTGGCCAAGACGCCGATATTGAACTAATTGCAGAGCCACAGGCTGCCGCAGTATATACCCTTAGTCAAGCGCACATCGTACAGTCGGTTCGTCCGGGAAATCACTATATCATCTGCGACGCTGGTGGGGGAACGGTAGACCTAATCACCTACTGCGTCAAGAAGAAAGATCCGTTGGAATTAGTTGAAAGCATCCCCGGGACCGGGGAAGCGTGTGGATCGATTTTCCTGAACCGCGCATTTGAAGACTTTCTAAAGGAAAGGCTGGGGAAACACTATACTGGCCGCAGGACTGAAATGCTAGAGAGGCGTCTGGATGTTGTAAGCTTAAGTAAAAGTCATCAATATATTCGACAGCGCTCTAACAAAGTCAACTAGATGCGCCGGCGTTTTGAGGTCGAGGTACGTCTGAAAATCGAAGCTTGTGTTGGCCCTCACTCAAAACAGTAGATCAAACAACACTTTACTGGGCGTCCAGACGCTAGGTGGGAATTTTGGCGTATGACTTTTCAACTGGGGACCGCTATGTGTAGACCAGTTAACTTACTCTCAATAGTTCCATACGCGTTGGATGGGGCCCGAATCCATGGCACAGAGGAAAACTGTCTGATCATTACCGGACGGGACGTCGCTCGAATGTTCGAGCCTACTATCACTAGGGTACTCAGTCTCATCCGTGCCCAGGTCAGAACCCTCCTCAACCGGAGGGGTCCCCCTCCTGAATTGGGAATTGTGATGGTTGGTGGATTTGGCCAAAGTGAGTACCTATACCAGCGGGTGAAGCACGAGTTTGAGGATCTAGCGAAAGTCACGAGGCCCCCTGACGCGTAAGTACAGAGTTAACGATATATCATCGATGCTATATTGATTGATAGTATATTAGGTGGGCATCGGTGACCCTAGGGGCTCTATGTTGGGGGATGCACAATGAGACCGTTACGGCGAGAAAGCTGCCACGGTGTTACGGTCAACAGGTCTATGTAAAATACAATCCCGATTGTGGATACCCAAAGTAAGTCTTCCCACCACCGAGTTTATCCTAACATCGGCGAGCAGAACATTGATTCCTTAGGGTGACCCATCCTTTCACGGGTGAGCCCTCTCATAAGGCCATGCAATGGTTCGTTGAGGCGGTATGCTTGTAGCAGTCTCTATATTCTTAGCTTCTTCGGAGTCAAACTAATTTATCTGGGTCAGGGTACGGAGGTGTCTGTTGGCCAACCATGGGAATTCCCTTTGGTGGCTTTCTGTGACCCTTCGACAGATGCAAAGTTGACAATAACTCTCTGGGGGTGGAGCCCTTCACGCGAAGGGGAGAGCCCACCGAAGGTTTGCACTCAAGGTATGGCTTGCGCCTAACATCATGACTACATTGTCTGATTGAATTGACTAGAATGCGACGAAGTGGGGGACATGACCATTGATCTAAGAGAGCCGCAGAGAAGATGCCCAGCTCCTTGTCTCCGGTCGGATGGAAAAGGCTACTACCAAAAGCTAGATTTCACGATGCAGCTGCTTTTTGGGAGTGAGATTGTTTTCCGAGCTGTATTTCAAGGTGAGTCTACCTGTGCTGGCTATGAGCTGGCCAAGGGCAGAATGATGACATAAATTCTAGGTACCTCGCAGCACGCGCGTGTTGATTACACGGATTAAGCAAGGCTCGCGTCGTATTCTCTATCGCTCTTGGTTTTGACCCTTTTAATCAACTCTACTACATACATTATGTGACTGATTAAGCTTCGCGAAAGTATCCTCAGTCATGAAAGGCCAAGAGCATCAAAAGTATTCTAAACTGTGATCAATAAAACGCCAAATGATGGTATTATGTAAGTGCACTAGCTGCACCTACGTGTCTCTTAACCCCACTACCGGCACATGGGGTGTGGCAGTCCTAATGCCAACAACAGGCTCGGGATAACGCGGTGATTGAGGATTAGGGGAAGGCACAGACGGTATTAAGGAAGGTGGTGACGCAGAAGGACGCCTAGAACGTCTCCTTCGCGGCTTTATCTCTCGCGCCAATCTCGGTACCACGAAATTCATCCAACAGACGCAGCATATAAGCAGAACGGCACCTGCTATGCCAAGCCCTATTCCCAGCGATTCTGCGGCATTCAGCCCGCTGACAAGTATCAGCAATCAATTCAGGAGTGTCATCTGCAGGAGAAAAGAAAACCATACCTCGAGCGACGCTGTATATATACAAATCTCGGAATCATGTTGTATTGGCTAGATAGCTGAATGGGGGATAATGGAGGCATTGAAAGTTGTTCCCATAAAGGTTCTTGGCTGGAACTATCGTCTTAGCCGAACAGTACGTGTGCCCGTTGTGTCATGAGTCGAAAGATTATACCACCTACCCTTTCAGTTGGGTTATTTATCCATCCTAGGTGAAAGGCACGTGGACCATGACATGGTATATATGAGGTTCTTGGATCTGATGACTTGAACAACCCTGTCACAATATGATTTGCTGTGTATGACTACCTAATCTCCCTGGAAATCGCATTTTTACGGCTGATAGATGGTAGTGAGCCCACAATGGTGATTTCTGAATGTCTGCATAACCGAGCGATCTTTCTCGTCTGAGGGGCAATAACTTTCATAACACCATGACTGGCCTCTAGTTTGCTGCACAGACGACTGGTCTCTGAGATATGACAAATAAAGCAATGAACATTACACTCCCATTCAATTCCCAGCCTTAGGCTACTTGCCTTCCGATTGGGACAAGTCCAAAAAAGCATCCATGTAATCACAATACACTTGATTTGTTGGCCAGCCACAATCACTAGTCCAGCCTACCGGTGCAGGGTCTTATCTGGTATCATAGCAACTAACTAGTAGCAAGGATGGTGTCACACATGATCATGTCTCTCAGCCTTTCCTGGGTTTCTCCCGTAGCGAATAAGGATAACCATGAGGATTGATCTGCGGCAAACACTTTCTTGCTTATTCTCGTGTATGCAGTTTGGTTTTCAATCGGCACCCTCATCCAATGTCGCCAATTGGCGGATAACATCAGGGATGTTGCATCCATCATGGCTATATTCCAATAGCCTGGACAAATGTTTGCTACCTTACTAGAATCAAGATTGAAACGGAGATCTGGGCGCAGAGCTATCTTTCCGCTGGTGGAAGTTGCATGATTAATTCCGATCAACCCCCGTAACATTAATGAATATACTTTTTGTTTCGCAGATACTGGAGGTCTCAGGGATAATGCATAGTTTGCCATTATCTGATGTGGAAGGAGAACTGCGAAATGTGACCCCAGCATTGGCATGACCGTATGGGTGTCGATACCCGAGAAGCATCCCATATGTTATTTTGTTTTGATAATTTCATAAATGCAATCATAACTGTATGATTCAATGCATTTCACCGTGGACATTTGTTGCAGTCATTTGATTCGTACCAAGGTAGCTTGGGGAGGTTCGCAACCAGAACGAGGGAATCCGATGTGGAAGGGTTACAATAGTGGACCTCGTCTCTAAATGCCCCGGACATGTCGACACGGTGGTATTTAATCCGAACCCGTACCAAGTTTCTTCAGAACTGCTTGCTACTCTGACATGGAGTCTATGTGGGGCAGACCTCTCAGCCATGGAACCAGATGCTACAACAAGGTGCGGACCAAGCTCTCATCCCCACATTACAACAAGCCCTAAGTTGGAACAGAATGAAGGTTACAACGGGGTCACGTCACTGACTTAGCTGTCATAGACGCAAATTAACTTATTATGGGGGTGACGATGTCTGTCTTGAATTTTTCATGGTTTGGGCGACAAGCGCCGGCCAAAGAGGCTATTCCTATGCCTACTACTACATAGGTTGATTTACTTTGATGATGAAGAGTGCTGACGAAAGACATCGCCAGATTTATCCAATATTAATACCTTCCCATTTGGGCTACGGTACAGGGAAACCTAATCCACCTAAGAGAATCGGGGAAAACCCGCACCAAGGCTAATTACATAATTAGAATTATTATTCCGGGAAATATCCCTGAATACCAGCCTCTATGCTCCATCATGGTTCACCGGCCATTGCGACATGGTTTACCTAGAGCCTGGCATAAATTAGTATCAGAGGGCAATTAGCACAACGGCGATCTTTGACTTACCACCGGTGCCAGATATCGTCATCACCTTGGCGGCATGGGTTTTGGAACGCACACTTCAAAAGCTGTTAGTTCGTATTCAAGGGTTGCCGCCGCAAATATCGATCACTTACCACTCCGGGGGCACCGGGGAGGCCAGCGTGACATGAGACACACGTAAGGCCTTCTGCACAGAACGCACCGGGGTAGGGGCCACAAATATCACCTGGTCCCTTGTCGGCAGCGATCAGGGCTGGAGCGCATGTGGCGATGAGGAGGGCAAGAAGCTGCATTTTCAATGGTTGCGAGAGAAAGTGTTGTGTCGGTAGAGGGGCTCAAGGAATGGACGATAGTTGATGGGTTAGATTGAATCACGAAAGATGAGATAGATTTCCGGGAGACTCTCAGAGAGATTTATAGCAACCGAGCTCCCCGTGGATGACAACATGACTCTAGTGGTTTTGGCTGTTTTCATTCCTTATTTTTCAAAAATGAATGAATCTATGACGGGCTGATCACAATTCTGACTTCATGATCCTCCATCCATTTTGGCTACCATTGATACGGTGATGTTGCATGCAACTCTAAAGTTATTCCGATATACAGGACAGTAGCCATAGATACCACATGTGCATGATAGTGTGAAATGGACACAAGTCCTGCAATAGGTATTATACCCCATGGGCTCGATTGCAATATTGTTATCCAGTCTCCGATATCTACGAACTGCTCCGACCAACGTGCAAGGTCCTCAGTGCATCATCGATTTGACAATAAACACTAAGTTTGTTCTGACTCTGGAAGACGAAAGGGTAGCGGTAACGGACCGTCGGATCGCATCTCCGCAGCTTCCGTAAAGCTTAGTCTAATGACCTCAACGACCGGAACGCACGTCCGCGTTCGGGTCGTTCTAATGACCCGTGCATTGAGAGGAGTGAGTTCTGAGAAGTGGCTAGAACAGCATTCCGTATCTTCGATATCGAAGTAGCGGACTCCAGAGCATTAGTCAGTGGGAATTGAACTAGGACTTGAACCAACTGCTCTGCTACGATCATGCCAAAAGCCCATCAGGTTTGAGCATTGGATCTAGTCCAACTGGTGAAAACTCCCTGACTGAAGCCCATGCTACGCTATGCCATGAAGAATTGAATCCTCCCATCGGCTTTTTTTTCTGATTCCTGGGTTATGTACGATATGGCATAGTTCAGGTGTGGAGGAAGGCGGCTAGTATAGCTTTGCAGATGTCTGCACTTGGACTGTCATCTATACACCTGGTCAGATGGGTTTCTGCTTTCCTTGGAGTCTGTGTCTATACAGACCCAATTTCTTCTACTAATCTACGTCCTTGAATTTGGTGTGCAATCTGGTCGCTCATTTGTGAATACGACGAAGTCATGATATGATGTGCACCTTGTTCTGACCTTACTTCGCGCACGTTGGTTACGACCACAGCCATTAATCCTCTCATTTCCTGGTCTACGGGGGAGGGCTTTCACGCATCGTTCTTTTAGTCAAGAAAGCCTGCCCCGCACGGGTAAGGATTCCGACTCGGATCTGCTACCGACCTTGCTGGCTATATAACAGGTAAATTCTACCCAGCGATCCATCCCTTCCCGCTGTCAAATACGGCCAAGGCATCGGACCAAGGGTACAACCAAATAGGACGCCTTATCTCTATCCCTTCAAAACAAATCAATCGGGCAGGATGGTTGAAGTAAGACAATATCACCTCTCTCCCACGGATCTCATCCCCAACTCCCCGAGACCACTACTCCACTACAAGAATGTCCTAGCCAAGGCCAACAACTCACATTGCGACCCTGTCGACGTGTGGGACACGTTCACAAGGAATGATTGGAACGTTCACTGGATTTTTCGTTACAGTCCCACTCAAATATCTCACTACCATTCCCAGGCGCACGAGTGTATGGCCGTGCTCTCAGGCACTGCCAGTATCCGTTTTGGAGTCGGGGATACATCGCCGGATATGGAAGAGAATACGCATGGTTCTGCTTGGGAGGAAGGTGGTGTTCTCCTAGAGGCGGAAGCTGGCGATGTTTTTGTGATACCAGCTGGCGTGGCACATAAAACACATAACACTAAGCCCGAGGCTGAGTTTGCCCTGTTATCACCAGGAAATGGACACGGTATTAAACAAGAGGATAAGAAAGCTTTGTCTGAGATTAAACTGGATGGGTTCACTATGATGGGGGCCTACAGCGGGGGTGACTGGGACTTTGTTGCCACCGGGGGTGATTATGAAAAGGTGTGGTCTGTTCCGAAGCCAGAATACGATCCGGTTTTTGGAGCTTCGGAACAGGGACTTTGCAAGACATGGCGTGGAAGTGACACTGAATCTAAGGCTCATCTCTAGGCTGTGTCATGCTTGTATGTTGATATAAATGACAGAGGTTCTACTAGCGACTTAATGACATTGTACGCATCGCAAGAACTAAGAAATACAGCCATTCACTCCAGGATATGTATTTCATCATGCATTTGATTTGTAATTTGTTGCTGACATGCATTGGTTGTAACAGTGCTGATCCTCGGCATCGGCTTCTTATCAACGATCGGACGCTCTCCCGAGTCCAGCAGTGCCCTTGGATCTGATTTGTCTAAGCTCCCCCAAACCGTGCCCTTTGGACACTGAAGATGAGTGTTCTACACAGAATGCGACTTCCATATCTTCATATGTTCCTCATACAACTAATATGAAAGCCCTGAAGCATCGTCTTTCCCAGACCTCAAGGCTATCCCTTCCGCATAGTCAAGAGCATACTGCTGTTCCTTTTGAAACCCAAACGTTATCAGCTCCAGTAAAGGGATCACACACACATTGCATTCTGAATTCCCCAAGTCAGACCTTACCACTAATTTCTACAAAACGCGGAAATGCTACCTCGGCCGAGCCGGTTTGCATAAAGATGGGCGCCTCGGTTCGGAACTCTCTCCCGAAAGAGCTCCCTGATTGGTTGTCTGATATGATGTGGATTTCGCGTGTAGGGTTGGCATAGAAAAGGGAATATTTGCTCAGCGCAGGCTTCCAATTAAAGAAATGCATTCGCACAGACGACTGACGCCGACATTTAAGCATAACTCTACGCTTATACAGCAAGCTAGACGTGGTGCTGATCACGACATGGCTAGGCATTCACTCCCGGATACTGAACTAACGATGACCTCGAGCACGCCTTGGCTCATGGACGTGTTTCGTCATTGGGTTATAAGCCTGAGGTGAGATGCAGTTCGCCACTGTGTGCGACAAAACATCCAATAATAGAGCGAGAGATTGATAGTCTAGCGGGTTTAGGGTGAATAATCAGACAGGGTCAAAGGCCCTGAACAGTGCAGGGTATTCTTCTCCACGATCCTACAACACCTCTATACTCAACGTGGAAGCGATTCACATGATACACTGCTCCGGAGTTCAGAGCCATCTATTACATTCGCCATTGATCTTCTGCGGGTCTGACGCCAAGCATGACAGGAGAACACGATATAGAGCCGCCTCAGGCAAACACAAATTATACAATTGTCGCTCTTCTACAGCAAATTGAGGAGATCGACCTGTTCCGTGACAAACAAAAAGGAAAGGGTCGAGCTGATGAGCTGTTGGACATTGATATAGCCATGGCCGCGTTTCGCGATGAGGTGCAAATACACATAGGTGTCTCGAATGATCTTAAGCTTACTCAAAGTATGGGTAATGCTGTGTATATGGACGGCCCCGCGATCGCAGGCATCACGCAAGGAGAGGTACAAGCCCAGCGCGATCGACAAATGGCAATGGCAATGAGCGCCGATGATCCGGAACGTCAGAACCCTCCGCAGAGGAATTTGCACAGCCAGTCCCATCCTTTACACCTACCTCGGGGCTTCAATGAAGAGGGTGATGTGGATCGTGGTTCTGATGAAGACAAAGGTGGTCCGTCGAAAACATATGCGGAGCGCCAGGAGGAAGCGATGGAGAAGCTAACACGACAAAAGCAACAATGCTGTACCTGTTTCGATAGCTTTCAATTAAGCGACATAGTTCGCTTGGAGTGTAATGACCTCTACTGCACTGATTGTTTTAAGAGCCTTTTCATGAGAGCGACTAAAGATGAGCAACTGTTTCCTCCCAGATGCTGCCGCCAGCATATTCCCATATCGCTCATCGCGGAAGAAATGACTACTAAAGAAAGGGATTCATTTCAGACAGCAACAGTTGAATTCGCTACGATCAGCAGAACCTACTGCAGCAACACTGACTGTGGCAGGTTTATAGTCCCGAATAACATATTAGCCCATCAGGCGAAGTGCGAGTACTGCGGCTCCTCAACCTGCACAATGTGCAAAAATACGTTTCACAATGATGATTGCCCAGAAGACATCGCTGTTCAGGAAACAATGGAACTTGCTAGAAGCCAAGGGTGGCAGCGTTGCGTCTCCTGTAACGCGATGGTTGAACTGACAATAGGTTGCTACCACATGACGTATGATTTATTTCAATCCTGGGCTCTTGTATCCTTCTTGCAGCAGTGCTGATGCAGTGTCTAGATGTAATTGCAACGCTGAATTCTGCTACCTGTGCGGCATGAAGTGGAAATCTTGTCGTTGTGAAATGTGTGGGGCACGTCGTTGGAAATATATTTTGCGCTGCCGTCGTTGTCAGTTAGACGTGTGTTAAGACTGTCGGAGGCATTGTGTGTGATCATGTATCCTTCGTCGAAGAACATCCACAATCTTGCGAGCTATGGTCTATGCATTAGTTCAGGGTGTTGGTGCCAAGATGCTCTTCTAGGGATTGGATTGACGATGTATGCGGTCTCCAGTCCATGGGCCCACTGGAAACAACTGCTCATACGATAGGCCATCAAAGGAGGTTCCAGAAAAGTGGGAGTTACGTTTGATAATGGATGGGAAATTACCAAGACCAGATTCCAAACACCGATATATGTAAACTCAACCACGTATATTCTCCGGTGTGGAGATGCTACTGATATCTATAGTAACGTACATTTATGCGGACTTGCCCGCGCAGCATGTGGCGTGTCCCGATATGCTGGAGGCAGTATACCTTCTAAAGAGGCCTTGATCTGCAGGGCTAGCGTTCGCGAGTGCCACCGGTGTTGTTGCGTATAACCACCCGCGATCCAGAGGTTGTCGAGGCGCGATTGACGCTTCCACAAACCACGTATCTCGCCCTCAGCATCAATTCCCCAAGTCGCGTCAAGGCGATCGGCAATTTCACGAGGGCCAAGGAACTGTTGGGGCTCAGTGCTGGTATCCTCACTACAAGAGCGTCCACCCAGGGTTCGGATTGCCGTGTCGCGCATGTCCTTGTCGGCAAATCCTGTGCACCATACCACAGCATCTGCATCGGCGGTGCTTCCGTCCGAGAACCGTAGTCCTGTGGCCGTGTACGCAATGGGCTCGACTCCGGCCTTCACGCCTGCCTTACCGTCCGTGAACAACTTGGTGCCGCCCACATCCACATAATGTCCACCCGCTCGCTCCAGCAGGTTATGCATCAATGACATCTCCGGGTCGCGACTGTCAATAACCGGGAACCCGGTGGCTGCAAGATCGTCGTAACGATGTGGTTCCTGCGTTGCGAACTGCGCGATCAAACCCCGAGCGAGCTGGGCGTCTACGTGCGACGGCAGCGTCATGAAGAGTCGATCAGCGAACTCGACACCCATGTCGTAGGCTCCGAGACTGCGCTTATCGCAGACATAGGCGACTGGGACAATGTAGGTCGGAGATCGAACCACCATTGTTGTCTGGAGACCAGCGCTGTGGCAGTCTTCGAGAACGTCGAAAGCAGTGTTGGCAGATCCAATTACGAGGACAGACTACGGGAATTGATATTGCGGTTAGCTATGACAACCGCGGTTCTTTGACGTTTCCGAAGTGTTGGGTATAAGACTCACCTTAGCCCCCGTCTCCGCTAACTGCTTTGCATTCCTGTACTGAGCCGAATGGAGGCTGGTTCCTTGATATAGGTGATTATCTGCTACCTTTGGCAGATAGGGCTCCTGGGACGCGATGCCGGTCGCAAGCACGAGATGCTTACAGTGCACTGTTTGTTGGCCAGCAGGTGCCTGAATCTTGACCTCCCAACGTTTGGTGGATGGGTCGTACGTGGTTGACAGGATCTGCGCGGAGGTGATGATATTCAGGCCAAAGGTTTCCACATACCGTCTGACCTGTAAAGCCAGCTCCTCTCTAGTCAAGAGGTGGGGAGCTCGAAGTTCCTCGTCATACGCTAGGTTGTGAACTCGGTGTCAGTCTACCAGCCTCCGCTCTTGATGGCCTGCTGATGCTTACACATGTAGGGCATGTCACAGAATGATGTTGGAATGTGAAAGCGCATGCAGTCATAGCGCAGGGCCCAGTTATCGCCAGGTCGCGGATTACGCTCGGCCATGACGCTCTCGACGTCCAACGCTTTGAGACGTGCTGCGAGAGTGACAGCACTACGCAGTGTCAGCGATGCCAGGGTTGCTGTCTTCACATCACTCACGCGTTTCCGCCTCCGACAATAAAGACATCCGTATCGAATGTCGCAAGGCCATCCAATTGCCTTCCAGGAGAGTTGAGCAATGCCTCATCCTCTTGCTGCAAGTCTAAACTCTCGAGGAACGTACTCAGAACCCAGATCTTCCACTCAATTGTCTCATGGCGGTTCTTAACAGGAAGTAGAACCACCTTTCCTTTGCATGTCGCGCCGGGAGAGCCAGTTCGGAAAGCGATACCACAGTCGATAAATTGCTGTATCCACGAAAAAACATCAGCTACCAATCTCAGGTACCAGTACACGACGCGTTCCGTGAGTGACTCACAAGCGTCGGCGCAGCGGGGAGGAAGACCGCGCCCCCATCGACAGCAATTTCCCCTTCGATCTCCCTCAAGTTCTTTGTTTCTAGTAAGCTCGCGGTGATTGCGCTAGGGCCGCTAAAGGTGCGGAGGTGGTACGTGAGTGCCAGTTGATCTCTCCAATATGCCTGATTGGCAAAGAAACAACTTTCAACGGCGATGGCATCATCATCCGCCAGTGCAGCGCTCAGGCGGCGCAACACAGTGCGCGCCAGCTTCACCGGCTCATCACCAGTGATGGAAGCTGGATCTATCGTTCCGGGAGGGATCGTAGGAAGCGGCTGGTGAGCCATCATCTGGCGCAGATCCGCTCTTGGCGGATACTCATCGTGTACCGAGGACGGGAAGTCGTCTGTATAGTTGCTATGCGTTAGACCCTGCATCCTTTGGACTGATCATCTGCGACATCCTGGAAAACTCACTGGAAGCCATGGTGGTCAGTTGCAATGGATGAGGTGCTGGATCCTGCAGCGGGGGGTAGCAGCATTTAGCAGCTGCCTCGCATCTGCAGGGCAAGGCCATCGCAGTCCAAGCGTGTGATTAATCGTCAGATACCCACACCTAGACTGACATCGCCATGCGGAGCAAACGCCGACGGGTGCCATTATTGGCCAGGAGTGTTCTTGTGAAAGTCTAGTGCGACAGCGGATTCCAATTGGTGCTCACTAGTGATGAGGACTCGAAACTCAAATGTTAACTTTGCGAGATGCATCGCGAGGCTTCCCAGTATTTTCCTCCCGTTTCTGGCCACAGTCGCAACAACGGTGGCGATAGATGATCTGAGCACCACGTCCATCCCGATACGACGAGGCATCGAGCCCCTTTAAAGGGCCCGCTACTGCTCTGTGAATTTTGGACAGGGGCGACCCAACGCGTTGGACCCACTGGTGCTGCAGAATACGGGAGTACAGGTCCGTCCATCACATTGGGAGCAGGCCTTAGCGCAGTGACATGTCGTCCCCGCCACAAGATAGCAGCCTATGATAGCCAACGCAGGTGGGTTGACCGGCATCTGGTTGGAAGCTAGAGGAAGCTAAAGTGGACGGATTCGTCCTTCCGGCCCTTAGCGTGCAGACATTCTCTCATCCGAAGAGCTGTCAGATAACAGCATTACGGGACCCGGTGTGGATACGGACCGCACTAATACTGAATAGCCTGTTACTTTGTATATTCGATTATAAAAATATATGCGGCAGAGAACGTCTTTTGTTTCTGAAACTGGCTAAGGAAGCAGTCTTGATTTTATCGCGGATTTTCAACAAGCTTGGCAGAACTTTACCCTGGTGTCGATCCCCAATGGATAGATCTGGGGTAGCCTTTGTTCTCTATACTTAAACAACAAGGGGCCCATTTTCGCACGGCCTGTTCGTCCAGGCTCCAGTGATCACGGACATCAAGATGTCACCTGAAGAGCTCGATGCCCTGCTCGCGGCTCCGGCCCTCGCACCACCACCCGGGGTCACGCCGAATTTCGACAATCCTAGCAGCCACAATGACTATGCTTGGGGTATAACCACTGTCTGTATGGTCGTTGCGACTGTCTGTCTCTGCCTGCGTTGGTATGTCCGGATCTGGTTGGACAGGAGAGTCCGTATTGAGGATGGTATGTGGAATCACCAAGACCTAAATGACGTGGCTAACACCTGGCTAGTTTTAACAATCGGTGCATATGTGTGCTCCTCTCTTCCACGAGATACTCACATTCAGAATGAACTAACGGTCTTTAGGGGGCCTATTGGGGTACAGCATACGCTGCCTATGGGATGATTTATACTCCTGGCTACTACGTCCACACCTGGGAACTTCGTAATCGAGACCTTATCCGACCGCTCTATGTAGGTTTCTCTACTATTGCGCGGATAGCTGATCCGAGCTAATCTCCTTGCTCCATTAGCTTATTCTAGTTTATGGTTGTTGCTACTCCGCAACCCTCCCACTGATCAAGACGGCCATCTTGATGGACTGGTGTCGTGTTTTTGTCAGCGTTAACCGATCGAAGAGTTTCTTCTGGTGGGGATGCATGACTGTGTCATTTTTTCAATGCCTCTGGGGGCTCCTATGCATCCTCCTGCTCAACATGCAGTGTCGCCCGCACAGAGCTATCTGGGAATTCTACCTTCCAAGCAAATGCTACTCGCTCCCAGACGTCATGCTCTGCTCCGCCAGCGTGCAAGTCGTCTCCGACATATGCATGTTTCTGCTACCCCAGAAGATGATATGGGGCCTCCACATGAGCTGGCAGAAGAAGATGGGAATTTCCATCATATTTGGTGTTGGTATTCTGTGAGTGCTTCCAACCAACTCTAGTCCCATCCATCATGTTTCTCCACAGATCTAACCTTCTCACAGCGCCTCAATCGCAGCCTGTTTCCGCCTAGCCCACACCGTCACCTTCGCCAAGTCAACCGACACCATGTACTTCATTGGGCCCCTCCTATTCTGGGCCTGCGCCGAGATGACCTGCGGTTTCTTCATCTTCAGTGTGCCCTGCCTATCGAAGCTAGCCATGGAGTCTGGACTTCGAAGCCGGTTGTCCAGCGCTCTCGGCCTCAGCGACAAGTCCGTCAGCGGCCCTTCTGCCCAAGGCGGAAACTCCAATTCTGGGCCTCGGGCTAAGCCCAAGCCATGGAGGGTCTCAGAAACCAACTACTCAAAGATCGAGGAAGGCAGTGTTATACCACTGACAAACGTTTCAGTGACACAGCATGACCCCAGCGAGGGGCGCCTTTCACACGATGGAAACCGTTCTCCGATGAGTGTGGTCCGGACCATGGATGTCAATGTCAGCTCTACCGATGGCTCCGGTGTTAAACTACAAGATCACCGCGTCCCATGGGAACATTAGAGATCATGTTCGCAATTGCAGTATCTGGCGTTTCGGAGGTCGTGCACGCTATGATGCGAAGGAGTACGGGGTCTGGGCATTCTTTTCACAACTCATTGCAGTCTTAAAAGCAACGATTTAGATCATAGTCTTTTATTAATCTACTTATTTTCTTTTGTCTTGCTGTAAGCAAGATGCCTGAACAAAATCAAAATGTTTGTTTCGCATTAGATGCCATGGTTCTTCACGATCACCGGAGAGTCTCCCAGGCCTTATATACCTGCACAGAAGCATCATCATTCGAAGATTGACAGTACATACAGTAAATAACCCAGGTTGTGCTTTATACAAATACATCGCCATCCTTGACTTTGATACTACTAGTAATAGCCATGTTCTTACAGGCTAGCCAATAAGAACTGTGTGTATGCTTATGTAACGCGTTTCCTTATCACGCTAAACTACATATAGGAAGGCTGTAATGCGACCTCGATGGTAAGGCAACAAGGCAGACCAGGGTCCAACTGCACAGCCCTAACGATAACCTCCTTCTTGGCCATCGTGTACTAGTCTTGGCATATTTTCCCCTTTTAGTGTTGGTGCACAAAGGAGATGTTTAATTGCGTCATGTAGGATAGGGGGGTGACGATAGCCAAGTACTTGCTTTACGTATGAAGCAACAGAAGGCTTTCACGATTCTCTCGCTCATTCGGGCAACGTAGCCAAGACATATCGGTATCTACGGAGCTGCTCGTATTCGGTTCAACCACTGATCTGCACGGCATCTCCATAATAACCAGCTATCAGAGTACCGGATCAGGCAAGTCTCGTATTCCTGTATTCTGGTAGTTGTTTAGATTCAGTTATAAATATGATCGCAAGGTCATCTTGTAACGTGTACAAGTGGCAAGACTTTGAGGATTTAGGAATATATATTCAATCTCTTCCTCTTGTGCATTCACATGCCTTGCAATACTCTTCGAAGAAAAGTATAAACACTCATGCTCCAACATCTCCTCACAGCTGTCGGCCTCCTCTCCGTCGCAACGGATGCACAAACGCAGCCCCGGCGCCGGTGTGCTTATGGAGACGACTGCTGGCCAGATATCCAAACATGGAACGACTTCAACGCCACCGTTGATGGAAGACTGATTCGCTCCGTACCATCCGCAGCAGTGTGCCATACCGAGCGGTACAGTGCAGACAAATGTACTTTTGCAAAGGAAAGTTGGCTGGATAGTTTCTGGCGAACCAATCAAACAGGGGCATATGCTGCTACCGTATGGGAAATGGGAAAGACCGGACAGTGTTTTATTAATACATCCGTTAGCGCCCCGTGTGACCAAGGAAGAGGTAGAGTTATCGTCAAGTTCTATGTAACAAGTGTCTGTGTGCGAGGTTGCTAACAGTTGGGTTATGTCAATTTAGTTCCGTACTACATGGTTCGTGCGGCGAGCGTGGAGGATATCCAGGCCTCTGTGAAATTTGCAAGTGAGAAGGATCTCTTGCTTGTGACAAAGAATACTGGACATGATCAGTGAGAAACCTCCGACATATAGCCTGTGAGTTTTGCTAATAATTCTCACCGCAGCCTCGGTCGCTCAAGCGGGAAGGAGGCGTTTGGAATCTGGACGCATAATCTGAAGGGTATCGAGTTCCACGAGTCGTTCGCACCACAGTATGCACCAGATAATGCCACTGGTATGCCTGCGGTAACGCTGCAGGCGGGTGAGCAATGGTTCGGTAAGTCAAGTATTGTATCTGGCCGCGTGGGACTGCACGCTAACTTAGCAATGCAATGTAGACGTATACCAAGCCGCCGCTAAACAGGGTGTGTTGGTCGTTGGAGGCTCGGCACGCACTGTTGGTGCTGCTGGAGGATATGTGCTTGGGGGTGGCCATTCGCCCTTTGCGCATTATTACGGTCTTGCCGCAGATAGTAAGTTAAGGGATATCCTTTGGCAACGGTGCGTAAACTAATGGCAATGCAGATCTTCTGGAAATGACCATTGTTTCTGCTGATGGTCAGCACCGAGTGCTGAATGCCTATACAGACCCGGAGTATTTCTGGGCCGTCCGAGGCGGAGGTGGAAGTGCCTGGGGCGTGAGTGACCATAGACAAGTTAAATCCAAAGTAAACGTCAAGAGTAGGCTAACTTATGATTGTCAGATTGTTACATCGGTCACCTACAAAACTCATCCAGTCCCACAGAATCTGATAATTGGACTAATCCAACTGAACGCAACGAATACAACTAGCATGAAACGTATCATAGCGGAATCTGTCAAGCTGCTACCGGCCATCACAGAAGCGGGCTACACAGGCTATGGGGCGATAGACAATGGATTCGCAGCCATCATGCTTAAGCCCAACAGCACAATCGCAAGTTTCAACCAAACATTTGCTCCATTCTTCAATCTGTCTCGGCTTCCCGGAATCCAGGGAGGGGTCACTGCGTATCCATCAACTTGGGACGGATACGTAAAAACCTTCCTTCAAGATCCTAATATCGGGACTAATATCCAGGATACATCCCGGCTGTTGACAACTGAGGTGTTACAAGAAAAGGCGGAGCAGGTGGCAGAGTTCATAGTTGATAATAAGCAAGGAGCAGGGTTCAATTTCAGTAAGTCATCCAATGTCCCCAAGACTGTCATTCGTCCTGCTGATTCCTTGTTCCTTTTCTAGTTGGAAAGGTCAACAATAACGAGCGCGATAACACTGCCGTCCATGAAGTCTGGAAACGCAGCCATGGTCTTCTGAGCGTGTCTGTGGACTGGGCAGATACCGCCACGGATAGTGAAAAACAGGAGAAGCGGCACCAGACGGTGCAGTTGAGCGAACGACTTATAGAACTGGTCGGCTTAGAGGGAGGGACATATGTGAATGAAGCCAATCCGTGAGTATATGCAGCTCGTAATTAGTATTGAACAGGAGTGTCTCACAGACTTTCCAGGTACGAGCCTGACTGGCAAAATGTGTTTTGGGGAAGGAAGTATGACCGACTGCTGGCGATCAAGCAACGAGTGGATCCTACGCAGTTGTTTGTGTGCAATCGTTGTGTCGGCACCGATATCGTGATCCAGCCGTAAGGCCTACGCCGGTATCCTTCTGAATATGATGGAGAGGGTCGCCAATCATGTCAACATAAGGGTCGTTCTGCATTTTGAGATTTCTAAAGATCACAGAAACGAAGATTAGGACCTATAGATGTGGGTTATCAACCATGGTGGATCTAGCTAAATTATGACTCTATAACTGATAATGAATTCCGATTATACGGGTTCCCTCTTATCGTACTCTGAGTAGACCGGCATAAGGACTATAGGCCCACTTGTATATAGCTTATCTGGAACCCAAATCCGCTTACTATCATGATGATCACGCCAAGGGCCTTGGCTGGTGGATCCAGATCGTATATATAGGTGTTGGATTGGGTCCCAGTCCACCATCAATGCAAATGAGATGTGGCTCAGCTGTATACAGCGCGATTGAGTGAGGGACTAAAGGCAATTACCGTCGTGAGTCCATCTGGAGAAGGGGTCGGGAATTATCGATTCCATAAGCTCAGGCCCAGTAGTCCAACCTTATAACACAAGCCCTTAAAGGCAGATTGATAATTATCCATTCTTCTATAGGCCCAAGAGCATTGATAGCTGACAGGCTTTACCGTTGGCTACATGCACGGGACGGGGACAGGAGAGAGTACAGTCCAGTATACTCGAGCGTACTTCAGAGTCCAAGAAATAGCGACATATATGTAGACTTTATCAAAGGGCTGATTTCCATAAACCATGTCAGACGCATATGAACCGAATGATGCCACAAAACCTAACCGTGACACAGTCTGGGAAACATCTGCGGGTGCTCAAAGAGGCTTTGACTTACTCTGAGCCTATATTGTGGATGAGAGTTCGACCGCCTCGATGCTTGAGCTGGTACATATTTCCCGAAAGGATGATTGCACGCATCGTTGACAACCCTGGTCTGAGAAGGAAGTCAGAAAAGCCCGCTATAATCGATTCACCTTCGACAGGAGCCGTGACAACGGGTTGACCTAGACTTCCCCATCACGCCCATGGTAAGCATGTCTGATGTAGTCCGTCACAGCCCAGCAGCCCAGACGTAGATGCTGTCAAGAATCAGCTGTGGAGAGTCTATAGTTGTTTCTGGGCCGATTGGCCCAGGTAGCCTTGTTATGAAATGCACTAGTGACAACATATAATCTATTTTATCAGCTATATTGCATGTTGCGTGAATGAAATATACGATACCCAGGCGTTTTCTCAATCAGCCCCAGAAGAGTTCCACCGCACTTGATTCTCTCTCCCTCAGGTATTCCGTTCTAGAGTGCATAACATCCAACTTGTGACAACTTAATTGCGTGCTTCAATGATGATCAGCAAGGTTCCAGAGCAAGTTCGGAACGTCATAGAGACGGAAAGTAGACTTTGTCGGAAGAGCGCCTTGAAACTGCTCAAGCAGCCTCGGCCGATGTATCCCCGTGAGATCGGGCCAGCAAGTGTGTATTTCCATGTCTCACCGTCCCAGGGCCATATGGGCCAATTAAGGCACTACGGCAGTTATGTGAGCCTTACGAACGCGCGTACCCAGCGTCATGTGGATCCAGAAGTCTTACGAAGTTACAAGTGTATCATTAATAGCCAACACGCATATCCCCGAGGACACAATTAGAGAAGGAACGCAATAACCATCAAAATCTCCCATTGGTGAGCCAATCTTGCTGACATTTATAGAATGAATCAGGGAAAGTTGATAGAGTCAGAGCGCATAGACCTGCAGTTCATTACCGTTTCCAGGGATAATACGCGATCCAGCTTGGCAATGAGTGGACAGCACCTCGTATTCAGTAGACTTGCGATCATACCTTTCAGGAAGAGTGGAGATGATGCTTGTATGTATGTGGTATTATTCTCCACCATCGTACTTCTGCTAGAGCCCTTCCAGTCTAGAACACTTCGCAAGGTGGACCAAGCCGGCTTGGCGGTGGCACTGAGGC